TTGAGTAACTTAGTGGAGCTATACTTCTTGTGTTTTTTGCCTACATCCAATTGAATGCAGAGACCATTTATTCTTCGACTGCCCATACACCTCCCAGATTTGGAATGCTTTAGCAAGAGGAATACTCAAGGAAGACTTCACCTGCTCGTGGGAAGAATTACTGACTTTCCTTACTCACCAGAACCATGGTCACCTGAAAAACTTCATGACCAGGTATCTTTTCCAATTCCAAATGATCATCTACTTTGTTTGGGGAGAAAGAAATAGTCGCAGACACGGAGAACACCGCTCTGAACCGCGGCATCTTATACGAAGAATAGACAAAAGAATGAAAAACAGATTCAACTCCATTCGTCTGCTTGGAGATCGGAAGTACGAAGATGGATATCAGCTCTGGCTAACTTCATATCCACACTGAAGACTAGATTATAATTTTCATAGATAATGCTTTCTAAATTTGAAAACATCTGATGTAAAAACGTTTTTTTTTTGTTCGAATAAATTTAACATTCATTCAAAAAAAAGAAAGAGGTGAAAAAAAAACTCAAAAAAATAAGAAGTTCATAGATGAAAATGATAAAGAAGAAAAAGTTAAAAATAATGAAAAAAAAAAGTAAAAGACACAGAAAAAGATAAATAAAAAATTAGAAGTATGGAGAATATGAAGCCAATAAAAAAGAATAAATATGAGAACAAAGACTAAGACAAAGAAAATATAAATCGAAATAGAAATTAGAAGATGTATAAGACGAAACAAGAGATAGGGCAAAAAAAAAAGGATGAAGACCAATGAGGAGAAGATGAAGATTTGGAAAAGGGGAGGAATAAAACAAATTAGAAGACTCTGGATTTTGAGTTCAAATCCAAAGAAGCCACATTAAAGAAAACTATGAATATAGTATATAAAGACATGTTATTTAAATTCGTTCTTTTAATTATCTTTTTAGTTATGATGCAATTATTAATTTTCTTTATTTTATATTATTGCTTATTATTTTTTACTTTTTATTTGATTGATCATATGTTTTATATTGTTGTTATATTTGTTATAAAATTTATTATCAGTAAATTTATAACAAATGTGATTTATTTGATGAAACATTTCCGCCCGCGCAAATCGCGGGATAAACACCTAGTTATTAGTAGTAGTAACTTTCACTTCTTTTTATTTTACCTGCTGACACAACATCAAAAGAAGAGAGTACATAGAAGGAAGGATATCAGTAACTTTCACTTAATAATGAAAAAAACATATTGTTACACACAACAAATTGTGATTTTTGTTTCTAATCATAATTTGCTTAATTTTGTTTTGTAGTGAAGTGCATATTAAGTAAAAAGCCCATGTAACGAAATAAGAATTACAAAGCCCATCAGGAAAATTGAATTCATGTAGATCATCAGTATAATAGCCAATTAGCAGATGTTTTCACGCGCTAAATACGACACAAAGAGCCCCTCTAGTAAAAAAGGAAAACACAGACAACAAATATGTATAAGGGTAAAATGGTCAATTGGTAAACCGATATCTAGCACACAGTAATTTCCAAATTTCGATAACTTTCCAAAATCTAATGAGCCTCTCTCTCTGCATATATATAAACACGATACCAGAGTGAGATCACCTGTTCGTGTAAAACCATTACCAATACCTTCAATTTCTACTCTTTCCTTTCCAGTTTCTCATCAAATTAGCTCTTTATTTTCCATCGATCGATCAGAGAAAAATCATGGCTTTAATTGACAACTTTTCCCTGGAACCAAAACCCAAAAGACAGAAGATCGACAACAACAACGAGTTCTCGTCTTCGTCGACTTCTAGTAGCTGTGGTCACTGCTGGGTTTGCTACGGAGTCTGCACCGCCTGCAAATCAACGGTTGACAATCGCCAAGGCCGTTCGTTCGATTACCTTTTCGACGGTTTACAGCTAAGCCACGACGCTGTAGCGTTAACGAAGCGCCTTGTAACAAAACTCTCTTGTCTCAACGAGAAGAAACTCCACTTGGTCCTTGACTTGGACCACACGCTTCTCCACACCATTAGGGTTTCATCTCTCACCGAAGCAGAGAAGTATCTAATCGAAGAAGCGGGTTCAAATACAAGGGATGATCTACGCAAGCTGAAAGCAAAAGGAGATCCAATGGAGTACTTGACAAAGCTACGGCCTTTTGTTCGCGATTTCTTGAAAGAAGCCAACGAGATGTTCACAATGTATGTTTACACAAAGGGTAATCGCGATTACGCTAAAGCCATCTTGGATGTGATTGATCCGAAGCAAATCTATTTCGGGAAAAGAGTGATAACGAGAGACGAGAGTCCTTATACGAAGACGCTTGATTTGGTTTTGGCTGATGAGCGTGGAGTGGTGATTGTTGATGATACGCGTGATGTTTGGATCGATCACAAGAGTAACTTGGTGGAGATTAGCAAATACAGGTATTTCAGAATGAACAGAAAAGAGTCAAAGCCTTACTCTGAGGAAAAGATAGACGAGAGCGAAAACGACGGTGGATTGGCCAATGTTTTTGAGATTGCTCAAGGAAGTTCACAATGGATTCTTCAGAGTCGAAGAAGAGCTGGAGTCAGAGGACGTGAGGCTGCTGCTACAAGAGATTGACTTCAAACTTTTCAACAAAGAATCTGTTATTCTGTAGAAACTTTTCATATATGTAACTATGCAGAGTTATCTTGACTATGAGGAGAATGTTGTATTTTTAACTATTTCTTTCGCATCAATCTAATTTCTATTAGGTGATAATATATCCCCAAAGCTAAATGAGCTACAAAGCATTTTATTTACTTTACTTTATACAACCAAAAAAAGAAAAAGACTAAAAGCTGAGAAATCACATACATTGAATCGATTCAATCTTTGGGACACTCTTATTAGCAAAGACAAAAAAGCAACTTGTGTTGAGGATACTTCTGTTTCTTCCTTACTACGCTGCAGGATTTGGATATGCTTTGGGTTTAGGTTTCACTTCGATTTCATTAACGCTTCTTACAAAGATGGCTTCTGGTTCATGCCTGTAAAATCTCACACACAGAGCCAGTTACAGAGAATTTTAACACAAAACCAAATGCAAAGACAAATTATTCTAAACTTCAGAGGATTTTAAAAGGAAAAAAAGATACTTACGATTTCTCCCCGTCTTCAAATGTGTAACTTGAGGCAACAGCTAGTAGCTGACCATCTCGATTGAATGACAGTGCTGCGATACTTGTTAAATACTTTGAATACTGAAAACGAAACAAGTACCAAATCATACATTTCTGTGTCAACATTCTGAGAAAAACGAACACACAAAAACGCTCTTGTCATTTGACTAAACCTGATATAGCCTCTTCTTGTTGGTACCATCCCAAATGTTGACAAAACCATCACAACCTCCAGTTGCAAATGTGCCATAACTGCAGTTCAAAATCTCAGATTTCTCAGCATTATAATTAATAATCTAAAAAATATATGAATCAGTTGGATTATTTCTAAGATAAGAACTTACATCGGATGGAATGCAATGGCATTTACGGAATAAACAATATCCCTTCCAGCTTCTGATTTCCGATGACATTTGAAAGCATATCTAAGAACAAGTTCAAATAAATATGTAAGTTAAAGCCGTGGAAAAGAGATAAGAAGGGAAAACAAAATACTTTTTAGCTTGAGCAGCCTCTGATGGATCGAAAAACTCCATTGCAACCCTTCCTTCAACAGAGCTAAGAGCATACCCTGTAAAAATCTCGATATCAGATACTCAAAACTGAGGCTACGAAGTATACTTTGGAACTGGAAGAAATACATTAGCAACTCTACAGATAGCAAGCAATATGTCAGCTGATTAACCTGTTCCATTAGGATAACTACGAACACATCTGGTCTGGTATTTCAGTGAAGACTCCCTTCTTTGCTCAGGCTGAGACATGTTTCTGAGATCATAGACGTTTATATGCCTTCCTGCTGTTGCCACAACTAAACGGTTTCCGACAAGTGACAGAGAGTAAACACGCTCTGGTTGCAATTACGTCCCCGCCTGGTTGCGTTCAGGCCCACCAGCGCCTCTTGGATCCCAACATTTAACTGTTTTATCCCAAGATCCAGTGATAACTTGCCCTTTAACATCCATCATATAAAAACATAATGTGTTCAGCATTATTTTGAGGCAGTAAAAAAAAACAACTGAGAGCAACTATTTGAGTTCCGGACATAGTTACATTACAAAACAAAACGTTACTTTACAAAACAAACTTCACTGTCCATGAATGCTAATGTACTGAATAAAGTAACAGAGATTGCTCAACTATGAGTTACCTAACATCAAGAGCATGATTACCAATTTACCTGTAGCATAAGAATACTCAACACATCGCACTGGTCTTTTATGCATCCCCAAAATGTCCTCTTTGCCGACATTGAAAACAATCCTGAGGCATAACCAGAGAAAACCCACGCGAAATTACGAAAACTACAACGACTTGATGTAAAGTAGAAAACAAAACCGAGGTAGAAATCAACTTCTTCTTTGCAAGCCAGCCAATTGTAATATTAGCCCTCAGTGAAAGCATTCTTATGCCAACGGCCTCTTCTTCACAAGATTGAGACTTTGATGCACCCTTTGTTCACTGTTTTACTTCAGTACTCATAAATTAGAAGTTTCGGACTAAGAACTTTGAGTTCACTAAAGAGACATTACCGTCTGACTTTGTTGTCTGCGCCAACACTGAAGCCAGAGAAATCATCATGGAAACAGCAATCGAGTACTGAACCGCCATGTAAGAACTCTCCTCTCAGCGAATTTGTGCTCACATCATACAACCTCACAGTCTTAGATTCAAATACAGAACAAGAAACTACTTCAGATTAAGTAAGAAAACTTCAGTCAAATCAGTGACAAAAAAAAAAACACAAGCCAGAGACAGAGAAGTATTTCTATCTAACCTTATCCCATGAAGAAACGAGGAGATGATCACTAGCATTTGAAAATCGGAGATTAGAAATACCGTCGGACGGTGGATTCGAGAGCTTAATATTCATATTCCCGTTGAAGATCACAAATGCTAGGGTTTCTGGAGAAAGAGAGAAACAGGGGAATTAGGAAATGAACAAAAAAAAAACAAGTTTTGAATTTGATGGTCGATTCTATTTCAAATTTCAACATACAAAAAAAAAAAAATTTTGTTGGTCTGTTTGAATTCAAATCTGTGGAGCCAAAAGGTCGGTACTAAACAGTGGATACTTAACTTGTTGAATCTTTCAAAATAAAATAATATTTTACTTTTTTTTGGTTGTAAGGTTGGAACCTGATTATATATATAATTAGACTTAGACTGAAAACTAAACCAAAATTGTAACCAGACCTAAAAAAACCGTTTTATATCAAATCTAAATGTATTTAGTTAAAAATCTCTTTAAAAAGGATCAAAGTCAACGAATCACGAAGCTGGACCGTTAAATGTCTGATAGTAGCTTTGAATATTTGGGGGCATTGGCGTTAATGGGTTTAATAAGAAGGCCCATATTCTTCACATTTTTTGCAAGCAAAAGAGAAGAAGAAGACTAGAATCAGAGAAAGCGTCTTAAAATGTCTCTCTTCAAAAGCGGTTTGTCTGTTCATCCAGCTGACACGTGTAAACGTCGCCACGTGACGTCTCCGCCAACGCGTTTGGATAAATCACGTCCACTTTTTTTGCTTGTTGGGTATAACAACAAAGTGACATCGGCCTACAAGTGGTAACGGAACTCCCACGTGTCCTATTAACAAGCCCCGTTCTAGTTGCTAATACGGTACGCCACGCCACACCCAATCTTTTTCCTCACCTACACTCAACTCCACTGAAGTTAGCTCAACATTCTTTTCTTTTTTTTTTCTTCTTTCTTTAATTCCTTGATTATCGCTACGTATTTTGGGGGTATAATCCAGGTGTTTTATTAGACGAATATTGCCGAGTAAATTCAAAATATTTTTTTGAGAAATTCCTTAATGATTACTTAGTGATTCCTGCCATGCGTGGTGGAAGACTAATAAATAATTGAGATCATACTGATCAGATAATGAAAAATAATCTAGAAAAATTGATATAAATCTTGGGAAGATTAGTACCCAAAAAACGTAATTAGGCGTGTACGCGTTTGGTTATAAGGCGTGCCCCACACGACTCGTGGCGCGTAGCCAACACATAAGTCAGCTCCACGGGAAAGGTATGCTCCTTTTTTTTAATTTTAATTTAATTGTTTTAGTATTAGCTAAAAATTGTTTTTGGGTTTACCAATTTATTACATTTGGTTTTTGACTTTGAACCGGTCTCTCACTCCTGATGACTAATACCCTTGGATTAGGTCAGCCGTGACCAAAACCCGGTATTTTACAGTAAATTCATCAATATTTCGCTTGGTTTCTTTCAGATTTAGTTTACATTTCAAGATTTTGTTTATATATATGAAAAGAAAGAAAAAATCTTTCCTGGTTTCCTTTAGATTTTGGGAGGTACTTTTTGTAAATACAAAATTTATTAACATTGTGGTTATTTGCATAAAAATAAACAGAAGACATCAATATGAAAGTGTTATAATATCTGTTGACAGAATGAAAGGTGTTAAAATGTGATTTGATGATTTACTATGATTGCATATTTGTATCTTGATATTTTTATTAGACACATATTCAAGAGCTAAAATGTAATGCAATAATGATAAAATCATTGTTGAGATTATAATTTAATTTTGACATTACAAAATTATCTTTCCATATATTTACTGTTAGTGTTAGGCCTCTTAAGTAACAACAGAGTAAGACAATAAAGAGATAAAAATTTGACCGACTTAAAGCCCATCGGCCACGTGGTTTCCATATAAAAACAGAGTCCAAACATTTCTTAAGCACTTCACTCCATTTTGTTCTTCTCTCTTTCTCTCTCTCTCACACACACACACCATATTTGCGATAGACTCTGAAATTTCTCAAATTTCTGAATCTTAAACCGAAGAAGAAAAGACACAGAGAGATTCGTCTGATTATGGCTCTCGAAGCGATGAATTCTCCGTCGTTCACAATCCGCAAACACAAAATCGACTCCACAGAGGATTTGATGAACGACGCCGTTTTCATGGAGCCTTGGCTGAAACGCAAACGCTCGAAACGCCAGCGTTCTCATAGCCCTACTTCGTCGTCTTCCTCGCCGCCTCGATCTCGCCCAAAATCTCAGAACCACCAGGATCTTACGGAGGAAGAGTATCTCGCTCTCTGTCTCCTCATGCTCGCCAATGACCAGCCCTCTGATCACCAGCCGCAAACGCGATTTCAGCCGTCACCGCCGCCACAAGAATCGACAAGGCTTTCGTACAAGTGTAGCGTTTGCGGGAAAGCGTTTCCTTCGTATCAAGCTTTAGGCGGCCACAAAGCCAGTCACCGAATCAAACCTCCAACCGCAACCACCACCGATGATTCAACAGCTCCGAGCATCTCCGTCGCCGGAGACAAACCTACCAATTCCAACGCCGTCGCTCCCTCCGGGAAGATCCACGAGTGCTCTATCTGCCATAAAGTTTTTCCGACGGGTCAAGCTCTCGGCGGTCACAAACGTTGTCACTACGAAGGCAACCTCGGCGGCGGAGGCGGAGGAAGCAAATCAGTTAGTCACAGTGGAAGCGTGTCAAGTACGGTTTCGGAAGAACGGAGCCACCGTGGATTCATCGATCTAAACCTCCCGGCTTTACCGGAGCTTAGCCTTCATCATAACCCGATCGTCGACGAAGAGATTCTCAGTCCGTTGACCGGTAAAAAACCGCTTTTGTTGACCGATCACGACCAAGTCATCAAGAAAGAAGATTTCTCTCTAGGAATCTAATAATTCGTCTATTATACATATAATTCTTCTGTAATTTTCCGTTAAAAAACTGTAGTTTCATTTTTCTATCTTTTTTTTCTTCTTATAATTCTCGATTGGATTATTCATATATGTTAGGGATTGATACAAATTTGATTGATGGATTAATTTGATTAAGTCAGGATTTCGTTTATTGTTTAGCTGCTAAACTCTTGAGTGAGTCCACTCTGTATAACATAGGACACGTGGCATTCCGTGTGTGAACACAGAGCGGAAATAGTTGGGGAACGAGAATCCTTCCATGTGGATTCGTTGCCTTCATTAGCATTTAGCACATGTATTATTAGTTTGGTCCATAAATAACAATTTTTTTTTTTTTTTAAATATAAAAAAACTGTTTATTTATTCTTTGTCATACCTTCCGATATGGTTATTGGCCACTAAAACTAGTGTCTATAGCCTAGCTTTTTTCTTTATTCGTATTTAATCGTAATTAATTGCACATGCTAGTTAGCAATCCATGCATCATTATTTAATTTTGTTTTAAAAATGTTTATATCGAATCATAAATAGATGTGACCACGAATCTGTGCATTGGTTCTTAGTTTTTTAGGTATGTGTACTTAACTTGTGTAACTTTCTTGGCCACCAAAAATTAAATAGAAACTACCTTCTTTCTATCATTTGATTATTCTGTAGCGAAGCGAAGTGGAATTTTTTTCATTATATAACAGTGTTTGATTTTAGGATTATTTTTTCATGTCAACCCTCTGATCAATTGATTGTTTGATAGCGGATCAAATAAATATATTGATTTGGCTTTGTTTTGTTTTGTGTTTGCTTTGCTTTGATACTACTCAAGAGGAGACACAAAAATAGAAAGATAGAAACTGTATTCGCTCGTCTAAGGTTTCACCTAATCGCACTAATGAGAACCAAACACGTTATTAAGTGTAAAATCATTAACTAATACGCGTCGCAAATTCAATAGAACCACATAGGTCTTCGTTGATTCTATTTTCTCCAACATATTTTACTAATTCTCGCCGATAAAAACATAATTATTTAATTATAAAGTGATTGCCATTATGGTTTGGCGGTGCTTTGATATCTTACACCAAAAGAACACCACAAAACTATTTTTTTAATTTCATTGAGAAATTATTTAATTTTCTAAATATAGCGAGACGTTCTTAGAAAAGAGAATCCCAAATATAGTATAGACGAGAAGTAAAGAAATTATGTAAACGACAAGTACAAAAAGTTTTCAAAAGTTTGTAAGTTCTTCGACCTTTCGGAGGTAAGAATATCGAAAATACTAATATAATATCAATTCAATTCGTTCCATTCGTGTTCGTTTAGCATATAAACTGTGATGTTCTTGACGTGTTGCTAATTATAATCTTATCCAAACACATCTTAAAAAATCATTTTTTTGTTCTTATTATCTATCCAAGAATTATATTAAAAAAAAAAAAAGTTGATCACTTGGTCACCAAGTCTTGGTGTCTCTGTTGGTTGTACAATGTACTTAACAAATAGTAAGAATAATGACGTCATTTGTCTGGTTCGTTAAGCACACAAACACTGAAACACGTACGCCAGATGCATTGATGCGGCACTTAAGAAAAACGACAAGAGAAAAAAACGACAAGAAGTCTACACACAAAAAGAATGAACGACACATGGAAATGAAAAAACAAACGGCAAGAAATCCAACTCCTATATAAGTAAGTGGAATGATCTGTACTGTCAAAACCATAAGGAGCAACATGACAACAAATCATAGATTTAAATCATTTCTATTTATGTACATTTTTTTTCTTCATTAGAGAACAAAAGGCAAAGATTCCTTACAAGCTTTTCTGTATACAATTAAAGCTAACTTCATCGGTAACAAACACCACATTCTATTCTTCTACCTTTCTCTTGAGTAATCTCCAGAACAAGAACTTACTTAAAGAAACAGATAACCCCCATGAATCTCACTCACCTTGATCCTGTTGAAAACGATAAAGGCGGTTTCTGAGATTCTGAGGGAAGGCCGTGGGAATGTAAACATTGTTAATATCATGTCGTGGAGTGGTGTGAGTAGTCATAAACTCAGAGGAGATCAGTTTCTACAGTTGTGAAGTCAGGTTGGTTTGTATCCGGCTTAGTTGTATTATGTGCGTCTTCATGCTACAGTTGGTAACCTATCAAGAGGCATTGATTTGCTTGATTATATCAGCTGAGCAGGAAGAAAATGCAAAAGGGAAGAGAAAAACGCAGAAAGCAGAGAGATCATTCTTCTAACCTGCAAAGCTGCTGCTGTTGATAAGAATCCTTGACATTGTTCGAGCAAAACCTTTTCTTTTGAAGTTATATTCACCATTTCCGCCATTACTGAATTCATTTCGTCCACCTACCAATGACAGAAAAGAAAAATGCACTGAGATAAGGGGTAATAAAATTATGTTCCACAAAACACGAGCAATCCGTATAGAAACCACTCAAGACAAGTACATTGACAAACAAACGGGCTCTAGTGTCTGACCTAAGCAGCTAACCTAAAACTGGCTTCGTACCAGTAGTGAATACTCGAAACAGTTCAGTCTTTTGATTTTTTTTGGGGGGTAAAAAATGCATTACAAGACTCTCAGGAATTATTGGTTTCGAACATATGCATATAAGAATGGACAGCAGCGAGTTTCCATTTTCTATCTTATAAAAACCATATTCTCATGAAAACGACCTTTCTGCAGTGCTTAGTACTTACACATGAAGAGAGAGTATGTCGCAGCTATGCATTGCATTCTAATTTTTATCTTCTTCCAAGCAGACAAATTGCATAGAGGAGCGACAAGAGGATAAGCTTCATGAGTCATCATCATTCACGCTATAATCACTGAAGACAAGAAATTTACCTCCGATGTCAGCGAGAATATGGAGGACGCCATAGCGCGCATAACATCAACGGCTGAACTAACAGCATGCTTGAGATCTTGAATATCAACCTAACAACACAAAAAATCATGAAAAGCAATCAGAAAAAAAAGGAGTTTAATGGTCAGTACCTAAGGGTACAAAATGAGCCAAAACAAACATATCAGAGTAATGCAAAAGGCATTTACCACAGCTTTTCCAATAATTGGAAGACGAAGCGTGCTGGCTTTCAAGGCTTCAGTTGCTCCTGACAAGGATTTTGAATGATCTCTGTCTAGAAAAGACCATGCTTCTAAATAATCCATCTACAATTTCCAAATACAATGATTTAGCTAACGAAAAAAAAAAACACAATTATACAAAAACAAGTCATAATCTCGTTTCTTTACACATGTCAAACGTTTTGAACTTTGAAATAAACATGCTTTCATGTTTCTTAACGTGTTTCCTTGTCAAAAATTCAGGATGCCATGAGATGATGATTTTAAGCAGTTAATGATATCAACTCCCAGAGGCAGAGCTAAGAATGTATCATACAAACACAACCCATCGACACTCCACATTAAATTGTAAGCCATTAAAAGGGCAGTTATCATTTGGCAGTAGTTGAATTCTATTCAGTTTACGTTTCCTGTTACAACAAGAAGTCTCAACTTTAGAAATACTAAGCAACATTTCTTAAGATAGCTGCATAGTCTCAAATACAAAACTTCAAAGGTGCCAATGAACTTATAAGGTAAGAAATTGAAACATGGAAACCTTTCGTGTTTACAGGATACAAATTATGAATTTGTTAAAAGTTCATATTCTTACCTGCTCCTTCAAGATGGAAGCTAGTTTCAGTTTCTGCCTCAGCAACAGCAATTTGATCTGTTTCAGAGTGACAGAATGGCGCAACTCCGAGATTGATACCCAGACATTCCACAGGTTTTTCTGTCATAAAATAAATCGTGCATTAACCGCAATGTGTCTAGTTATCGGACAAAATCAATAAGTCGACTATCTATAAGAATGCCCTATCATAACGATAGCTAGACTTCATAAAATTTTCGTGCTTAACCTCATTCATACTTTCATCTGTGTAATGACATCAGTATCAGATAAAAATTAGCATGCAGCACAATCCAAAATGTAGAAAGGCACAACACTTAAATCAAACCCTTAACGAATCAAGTTTATTGCATGAGCACGAAAATGTGTACTTAAGAGGCTTAAGCATATTACACTGCAGCAGTGGCTAAAAGTAGATTACAAATCATGGGTTTCCTAAGTCTGCTGCAGTGGCTAAAAGCACTTACGATCCAAGAAGGCCTACACACGGCACATCCATAGATTCACAGTTACGAACATAGCATTAATGCGTTTATGTAAAAGAAAGGATACCTCTGCACTGTGGCTCTGCACCATGAAAGTTGAGTCAGCCATCGCATTGGCAAACCGCCACTGCAGATAACGGTTATACAGAAGCCTCAACAAGTGGGCATCCATAACGCGATCCTCCCCAATTTTCCCCCTCCTAATATCAGCAGAGAAACAAATAATTGAAGGCAAGGTACGGTTATAAGCGTTCATTTGTTCAGAAACTCCATTTCTCACTCGAGAAGGACTAGAGAGAGCCCTAGCTTGAGATGATGTAGCTGTTCCCCAAAGCTTACTTGGTGAAGCAGGGCGAGTAGCACCCCTTACTGGAGAAGCCATACCACGAGGAGACGATGCCAATGGACTATCATTAGAGAACCGTTTCGACTGACTGAACTTTGATGACATACTACTGGTTCTCGGATTTGGGCTAGAGCATCGAGGTGAGCCAGGGTCCTGCAACCGCCTTAACCGGCTATTAGTCTCTTGCCAGAATTTAGCAGAAGCCATAGTATCACGCTGCAAGCTTCTTGTTTTAGAAATTTCACCATTGACACCAGAACCACATTCCTGCACACCATTAGTGCTACCAGATGAAACACTATCAGTATCAGATGCAGTGAAGTCACAGGAAACACTAGAACCCAATCGTGGATGTGTGCTTGGTCTTGTCTTGCTCTCATCCTTCAATTCCAAATCTAAACTCAGTTTGGCATCAGCAGAAACCCTAGAACTCTCATCAGCCGGATAATGCTGCAACATTGACCTTCCCACAAACCCAGATCCAAGCTTCCCTCTATTAGCACTGTCACAAGCCTTGCTTCTAGAAAGCGAATTCGGCACGGATTCGATATTTCCCCTCCGGGAAGCGCCCGGCCACAGTTGCTGGTCCACCGGCTTTGAGTTCTCCCTTTGATCTCGAACCGGCGTGGACCTCCGCCTCTCCGGAGTAGATTTCCGGTGGGAAACCGGCGTGGTAGTCTCCTTCTTCTTGCTAATCGGAAGCGAAAACGACTCCCCTTGAAAAGAAACAGATAAACTCCTGGTGGAAGTGATAAGCATCTTGGTGGCCGTCGACATTTCGGTGCCAGTAACAAGAGAAGCAGCTGCCGACGGCCGACGACGGTCTACCGATTGGGACCGTTTGGGTAACAAGGAAGGCGTCTTACTCAAATTAGAAGCGGAATTCGTCGCGCGAGAGAGCAAAGGGGAAGGATATCGCTTACTTGTCCTCAGTATTGCAGACGAAGAAGAAGAAGAAGTCGACGACGATGTGGTAGTGGTGGTGGTGGTGGTCGTAGCGTTAGAGGAGGTGGAATGAGAATGAGAATGCGAAGGAGAAGGAGAAGGGGATAAGTAGCGTGAGGGGACATTTTTGAGTCTAGGTCTTCGTTGTTGTCCGCCATTGTTGGTTGTGGGTTGAGGTTTGTCTTGCCGATCTCGAGGTGGATTCCTATTGTCAGTGCTGGAGATTGCTGCTTGAGGAATCGCAGCAACCATTCTCAGACCTGCCTGCGAGAAATATCTCGCTTCTCTTCTTCTTCTTCTTCTTCTTCTGCTTCCTCTGCTTCGTCTTGGTCTTCGTGATCCTCACAGTGCATTACAGAGATTTGTCACTTTCCCCAACTTAGCTAGAGCAAATTTTCAGAGATTTCGGTGCGAAACAAAGATCCCAATGAAGTTTTGCCAAGGATTTTGCATTAGCTTAACTTCACAGCCAAAAGAAAAAAGAGGAAAGAGAGAGAGAGAAAGAGAGAGAGAGAGAGAGAGAGAGAGAGAGATGTGAGAATGGAGGTGGGGTTTCTGGTTTTGGGATTTTCTGAAACTTTAGGATACTTGTGTGAGCTCATTTTTATGAACTTTTTCATTTTTTTCACTCTCCTTTTTTCGATTTAACTCTATTTATGAAACTTTAGCTAATTCGTTCGTTTTCTAGCCATTTAAATATTGAGTTAAACAAAAAAAAAATATTGACTTAAACAAATCCGAAAAATTTTACATTAATGATTTGCCGTAACTATATTATATAAGTAAGTTTTTTCCCGGTGAGCATAGATAACGATTTTTTTCTTTTAAAATTACGGAAGTTTGATATAATCATTTACACATTGAGATACATTAAATTCGATGCTCTTTTAAAACTTTCAAAGAATCGATATATATACATAGTTAATGATGTATATACAATATATAAATTTTGTAACTAACTTTACAGTTTCTTCTTTTATTTTTCCATTTAAGCTTTGTTCAATTGATCTTTAGATTGTTCCTGTGGTGGTTTGGGAAGGTGATTGTCAACATTAAGAGTTTTTTTAAGAAAATGAAATCCAAAGGCAGGGAATGAGTATCTATTTTGCTGTTTTTTTTTCTTTGGTTTGATTATGCTAACTGACTATTGTTATTCCTTATACCGTATCAATGGAGAAAAAATTATGCAAGGCAGCTCATCAATTGAACCAGTAGTATCTCCATTAGCAGCTGAAGCAAGAGTATTACTAAGGGCACTTCAAGGAATGAGAAGACTAGCTTATGAAGAAGTCTTGTTTGTTGGGGACAACAGTGTTCTTTTTAGGAGCGTTAATGCAATGCACAACTCGAGTTAGTCGTAATGTTGATAGGCTTGCTAATCGTAATGTTGATCGAGTTCATTTATGTATGTTAATCGTAATGTTGTAGAGGAAGTTGATAGGCTTGCTAAGATAGCTCGAGAGCAAGCTCAAAGCTATAAAATATCTTGGTATGTAATATAAACTTTGTATTCACAGTTGGTAATAATATAGTTTGCCGACAAAAAAAAAAAAACTGACTATTGTTATTTGTTTCAGTTTTCTTTTTCAATGCAGAATTTGCTGCAATAGCCAACATGAACCCCGAGACATGTGTATATGGCCCTGGAGATGTGGAAATATGCTGGAGCCAAAAAGCTTTACTTATGTTATGTTTACTTTAGAAAGCTAAGTTTCTTGGTATATGGCTCTTGAGACATGAATATTTTTTATTTTTTTTTGCAGAACCTTTATGTTATGTCTTCTTTATGAAGCTAAGTTTCTTGGTTAATTTTGATGATTAAGATATTTGTCTTTATAAATAGAAGAGTTCATCCATGACTATCAAACTCCTATCATTTCTAGGCTTTAACAAGTTATGAAACTGAATGGGAGGTTCGCTTGTCTCAATTCTTTCACAAAGATTACCTGTTGAGACATTTTCACTATGAAAGCGGTCTCTCTTATCTCTGTCATAAACTGTGACATTGAAAAGTAAAAAATGAGAATGGTGATATCAACAGGGTCTCCTTATGATATAAAAGCTGTTGTGATTCATCAACACGCCAAATCCTTGGAAATTATCATATTGAAAGTGATCTTCTCTACCAGTATGGGAGAATTTTAGAGGATTAATTACCGTGCTTGAATTTGACTCAAGTTTACCGTTGTCCCCATTCTTGTGAATATGCGGTCAAGCACCCTTATAATTGCAAAGCTAGCTAGAACTTAGAAGCCAATCTGACCAAGAATGACTACTAGACACACCTGTTGGAGATATGTGCTCTAAACCTCGCATTAAGCTCATTTCTTTTATTTTTATAATGTGGTTTCTAATTCTCGCTAAATTTTTATACATAAAACTAATATCTTTATTGAAAAAAGGGAAATTTGTTGTACTAAACTAGTAATAAAATGGAAAACTCCGTATGTGAAAGTGGAAGCAGTCTTGCTATTTTTATAACTTCCAAAACTGAGCAACCACATCAACAAGAATTGATCATTCTCAAAGCTTTAATTGAGCCTTGTACGAGTCCAAGTACAAGATTGAACAAAAAAATGAAAGATCTTCAAAACAGAGCAAATGAAACCGAGGAAGGAAGATCAAACCAAGATACACATACGTTTATACAAGTTGTGATATCTAGTTGTTGTCCGTAGTTGTCAGCATTCTTGCTGAGTTTTCAATTTTTAAACCAGAGCAACTACACATGAGCTAGATATCAACAGAAAGACATGAAAATTTGACAGATATCAAAGTTTTGCACATTTTGAACGTACTTATATGACCCTTAAAATTGATTGACAGATAATAGCGCCTATATAGCTTTTATTATGTGCCTCTATTAGGGAACAATCCACTATAACACTAATCTTCAGCATAAAAACCCTTCAAGCGAACATGAGAATTTAGGATTATGGTTGTTCATCTTAGATTCATATGAAAATGTTTTTGAGCAATTGTCTAAAAAATGAAGGACGAAGAACATTGGTGTTGAGTTAGAGAGATATAATTAAACCGATACTATTATTATATTAACTAAAGTTGTTAGCTTGAATGTCAATAGCTTTATTAGCAGTATAAACATAAAATCTGTTTCCCTCACAAGATGATCAAACATTATTAAAAAAAACCTGAGCCAGAGTCATTCAACAAGAATTAAGTTTGGTTTCTGATCAGCAAACCTGTTGGTATCTTGTTAACTAAATAGAAACAACTGACTAGTAATGCTGTTCTTTACTTTTGTCTCCTGCAGGTACTGGACCTTGCTGAATCTGCACCAAACTCGGAACATACGAGCACACAAGTGGCCAACATGTTGATTCTCCGAGATCCACTTCTTTGTAGTATCCATCCTCTCCAAACATGTACGCTGTGTAGTAGTTGCTTCTCTTTTTTCGGTCACAAATCACTGCTACTTTCTTCTTCTCGTCTACGAAGAAACTCCCATATATGAAATCAGGAATACTTCTAATCAAAGATTTACTATCAAATTTTAACAACTTGTTCCATGACAAGTCGTCGGGCTCAATCTTAGTTGTAAGTTGTAACCCATATCTCTATCATGTAAACTGCAGCCTTCTTAAATAACACTCCAAGCTGCTCTTCTCTGACAGTAGATATAATCACAGAATCGGGACCACAAGAGTGAAACGGTAGACGCAGACGTGGTCCAAATCTCTCTCTTGTGAAATCAAAACAGACTAAAAAATATCCCAAATCGACTTCCCCTCTTGCAAAAGCGACAAAGTACGTATTTCCCTTCAAAGTCACGCAGCGATGATGATAATCTATATTCCAATTGCGAGTGACATCAAAAACCTTCCATGAATTACGCTTTAAATCGTAGATTTCGTAGTTACCAACTCGTTGATGAATAGAGAGGTCACAATCCAAAACCCTCAAAATTTTGTGGGTACGAGTGTTGTCGTATCCGATACCATACCGATCATATATGGTGGCTTAGCTTCTAAGTTGGATCCACCTGACTTGCCCCAAATACGGGTTCCATACCACGAGCACGTCATTGTTATTGTTAATGCATAACAATAAACGGTCACAGTAAAAGACTTGAGCTATCTCGATTAGATTAAATTTACCTAATTGCTTTATAGATGAATCAAATAAGCCATCTTTGTGGTTATAAATTCCATGAAGATTGACGTTCGTTAAGCAATCCCTAATATCATAAGTCATGATCCCCATCATAAACTCCTTGGCTGCTAGACCACAATGCTTCTTTGTAAAGCTATGATCTTTGGACAAAGCATCCCATCGTTTGCAAGTGGATCTCACCGCTCTGATGGAAGTTATCGAAACCCTAGAGAGTATCTCCTCTATCAAATCCCTCGGAATATCAGAGATCGTTGTCATTACTTCAAATAAAAGTTAGGGTTTTTTTTTCTTACGTGCCCAGTACACTATTTATAAACAAATAAGTTAGGTTACCATTATATAACAAAGATATCTTCAGCTTTAAAAAAAAAAAGATATCCTTTTTCAATGTCCTTACATTTCACAAAAATGGTTTCCGGTTAATTCTCTCTAGTTAAAATTTTCACATCACGAAGATTTTTTTATTGCCTTTTTAAAACTATCACTTTGTTAGTTTGTTATGCACCAAAATAAACTCTTTACACTTAATGAGCTAATAGAGTTTTCAGCATTCTTCTTCCACCACTTCTTCTTTAAACAGAGGATTTAAATGTATGCAGAATTTCAAAAACCCTCAAAACCACACCACCTTTTTCATTCTAGAGAAGAATAAAATAATGATTACAAATTATGAGCTAATGCTAGCAGGAACATAATGAAACCATTTGGAGGGCTCTTCTAAGCATGAAGACACCAAATGAATATCCACAAGAAATAATTACCACTATACATCAAATAGTAAGCAACAAAAGAATTATATCTACGAAATTATGGAAACAGGGACAAGACAAAACAAATATGAAATGGATCAGTTTGAGAATTGAGCTCAATGACTCTCTTTATCCATATATCAAACATGGCTTTGTTTCAGCTCTTAATTAAGTTATTGGGCATGTAGCAGGAACCATTACAAAAGACTAACATATTTAGTAGAATATAATGGAATTATTTGAAGGACTCTTCTAAACATGTGGCCACCAAATGAATGCCTAGAAGAAACAACCACTTTGCATCTTCAAGTTTTCTTGAAGAAACAACCACTGATGATAGAGGTCAAACTATACATGTGACTCTATCTTGTACAGTAATTCCCTGAAGTCTATTACGCAGATTCTTCACAAAATGCCAAATTAAAGTATTGGCCTTCATGTTCTCCTCCATTTTTTTCAAAATGAAAGCCTAACTCGGCTATCCACAAGACTAAGAACAGTACGAAGACACTGAAATACTGCTGGCATTTCTTCCTTGAATGAAACCAAGGCTCTTTTATTTTTTCTTGAAATAATTCTTTATAGCTTGAAGAATACAGCCTTGGGACATCGGTTCCATGGCAGCAGTTAAATAGCTCTTCTTCTCCTCAAGGACCTTTGCAAAGCCTACCTCCACCTCACTAAAAATAGCCTCCAACAAAGCTTCATATTTTTCTCCCAAAAACAGCGTATTTACAATACATTCAGTACATATTTTAAGCCAGACATACCGTCATGTATGCTGTACGATCTATCAGAGGCTCACTTGTTCCAGAGGGATAAGCCTAACAAAAAATCTATTGCACAACAAATGTACATATAGAGTGGAATGTTGTAGAATGGGTAGATACAAATGTACAAGTTTTTTCTTCTTCAACCTCATAGAAAACAATGTTAATTAACATATCTAATGCCTCAGATTTAATACACATATATAGTATTGAGATAGTGTTAATCAATAAAAACTGATCACAATGAAAGTCAAATCCTCAATTAAATGAAATGTATGGTTTTACCTCGGCTCATTTGACTATATAAAACAGGTTACATGATTTGATGAAAAATCAATAGTAAAATCTCAACAACACATTGATAACAACAAAACAACATGTCGTGAGTGAGAGTATTTTGAAAAGGGGGCATATGTTTTCCTCAGAGCTTGATCATCTTCTCGAATTAAAGATCAAATCAAACATCCCACGAAGTTGAAGCCATATTTATCTTCTAGCTTCACAACTTTTATTAAGAGTAAAAGATTATTTCAACTGTCAAGTTTTTGATCATCCAAAACTGTTGGTGACCTTGTTAAGAATGACATATAAAAATAAGAGAGTAAATGACTGAAAAGGAGATGCAAGAAACAAACAAGACTTTTGTAAAATATATAATGAACTAGTAGTACTCATAAATCATAATATGGCCTCCTTTTGTCTCCTTCACGTAGACCTTTCTCGATCTGAACCAAACTTGGAACATTCAGAGCCCACAAGTGGCCAACCTATATAATAGGTTGAGGAGTCGATCATCTTCCAAATCAAGCAGCCTTTTCAAGCAAACTACCTCTTCTCAAATCCAATTCAATAGAAAACCTTTTACCAAAAAAAAAACATTTTTTATAAAATAAAATAAGAAGAGAAGAGAAGAGAAGAGAAGAGAAGCAGAAGATTGACGAAGTCCTGGATTGATGGGGTAGTGTAATAGTGGGAGCCATGTGGCGTCTTTAATTACAAAACTAATTATCACACACCAAAAACGATTCTACAAGATACTTTCGATCAAACGTCACATCCACTCTTGAATCTGATTAGGAAAACTTTGTTCAGCTTTACAATCTTTCCAATCAACTTCGATAGATTTCTCTTCATCAATTTTAGGCTTCATCACAGAGAGAGAGAGAGTCAGAGACCCAGTTATCCTTCAAGGTTAAATTCTCCACTTGCTTGTTATTGTCAACAATCCATGTCGATCTACAAGCTCTCGAAACAGAAACCCATCGACTAATTTGACTTTCTGATTTGCAAATCCTATGCCTTCTGAACAGAATCTCTTCCAAGCTCCCTCTTTTTTTATACCTTATCCCGTAAAGGCTTGATTTTTATAGAAGCCCTCCAGAATCTATTCTCAAGCTTTTATCTTTTCATTTGTTTTCCACAGGATCACAGAGAGGTCTCTCTCTCTTGTTAAGACAATTCTGCCGGTGGTATCTGTTTGATGGGTGAAGAGACAATCTCAAACGATGATTACGGCGCTAAGACAAAACCAAGTCCAAAGCTGACACTATTGCCTCTAGTATTTCTGATTTTCTATGAAGTTTCTGGTGGCCCTTTTGGTGTGGAGGATTCTGTGAAATCAGGTGGTGGTCCTCTCTTAGCCCTTCTAGGGTTCTTAATTTTCCCTCTGATTTGGAGCATACCCGAAGCTCTGATCACAGCAGAGCTCGCCACAAGCTTCCCGGAGAATGGTGGCTACGTGGTTTGGATCTCTTCAGCGTTTGGTCCGTTTTGGGGGTTCCAAGAAGGATTTTGGAAATGGTTCAGTGGTGTTATGGACAATGCTTTATACCCTGTACTGTTTCTTGATTACCTGAAACATTCGTTCCCTGTTTTGAACCATGTAGCTGCGCGTGTTCCTGCTCTATTAGGCATCACGTTCTCACTGACGTATCTGAACTATAGAGGATTGCATATTGTCGGTTTTTCAGCTGTTCTGCTAGCGGTTTTCTCTCTCTGCCCATTTGTTGTAATGGCTTTGCTTGCGGTTCCTCGTATTAAGCCTAAGCGCTGGTTGTTTGTGGATTTCCAGAAAGTTAACTGGAGAGGCTACTTCAATACCATGTTTTGGAATCTCAATTATTGGGATAAAGCTAGTACTCTTGCAGGGGAAGTTGAGTCCCCAGGGAAGACGTTTCCAAAGGCTTTGTTTGGAGCGGTTTTGTTGGTCATGGGGTCGTATTTGATTCCGCTTATGGCAGGGACTGGAGCTCTAAGCTCATCCTCTTCAGGTGAGTGGAGTGATGGGTATTTTGCTGAGGTTGGAATGCTTATTGGAGGTGTTTGGCTCAAGGGATGGATACAAGCTGCTGCTGCAATGTCAAATCTAGGATTGTTTGAAGCCGAGATGAGTAGTGATGCATTTCAGCTTCTTGGTATGAGCGAGATAGGGATGCTCCCTGCGTTTTTCGCCCAGAGGTCAGTTAGTTTAGTCCGCAAGGCTGTGTTTTGGTTATGATGCAATTGAAAAACTCGGTTTAAACGTTCTTTGTGTGTGTGCAGGTCGAAGTATGGGACACCAACGATCAGTATTCTGTGCTCAGCTACAGGAGTCATATTCCTGTCGTGGATGAGCTTTCAAGAGATCATAGAGTTTCTGAATTTCTTGTACGCTTTAGGAATGCTTCTGGAATTTGCAGCCTTTGTCAAACTACGGATCAAGAAACCGGATCTTCACCGACCTTATAGAGTTCCCTTAAACACCTTTGGAACCTTAATGCTGTGCCTTCCTCCTTCTTTTCTTGTCATTCTTGTGATGGTTTTGGCCGCACCAAAGACGTTTTTGATCAGCGGTGCGATCATTGTTGTCGGGTTCTGCTTGTACCCTTTCTTGGAACTCGTAAAGGAGAAAGGATGGGCGAGATTTATCCCAGAGGAAACAAGACCAGTTTCAAGGGTTCTATCAGAGCCACAGTTGGATCAAGAACATGGAGACGAGTCTTCTGCTAGCCTTCTCCCATGATCACTCCACCTGCAAAAGACAGATCAACGAGAACTCTCTGTGATATTCTTGCAAAGGTCTTACAGAAGAGACCATGGGAAACTCTTGTATAGTTTGTAAGAATGCATTTTATTTATGTCTTGTTCAGCTTTTGGTTAGAGTACAGAAACAAAACAAAACAAACAAATAGTGTAGCACAGGAAGGTTTCTGATTTAAATTTGTCTAATAAGAGATCGTATTATGATTATGTGTATACATTTTAAGTAAATGCACTCAATTTGTTGATCTCGCCAACATTCCACTGCCCCACGTTTTCTAATTCCAGTTCTTGGGTTTTGAACATTTGCACTTTTCTCAAGTCTCTTATCTTCTCTCCTTCTCTTCTTTACTTATTGGACCTCCTCTGATTGGAGACATGAAAATTTTCCATGTAATTACTTAACTATACAATAAGAAATGGTCTGAGATTGAGAGAGGCAAAGTCTCACTTAAAACCAGAAGTGGCTATATCATTCATTTTCTGCTATGTATGTAGTAAATAAACTGCAGTGTTCATAAAGAATCTACATCTTACCTTTATCCGGTTCATTTTAGCGTTCTGAAGTTATGATCTCATATGTGCGGGTCCATCATAACAAGTGCTGGTCAATGCGGGCCCATTTGAACCGCTCGTATTTGAGCTTTAAAATTTAGACCCCCAAAAACTATAAGGTAAAGAAACTTCCATCTTCTCTATTTATGTTTTGTTCTTTTTTATATGTAGTGTCTTTCTATATCTGAGAACTCTAGATAAAAATTGTAAATTCTCCAATTCGTCAAAATCGGATATCTAGATTTTAAGATCCATATATGTATATGAATTTGGATTTATATCTATAAATTATATATTAAAAAAAAGAAGAATATAAATGTATTTTTACATATACTATTTGATTTTCTTATTGAAAATTTCATGTCATCCATAGATATCATGATCTGTTAGATGGATATTCAAAGTCTATACAAATGAGTTTCAATTATATAAATCATGAAGTAGCTTATTGTGTGATGACCAATGTTTTTAAAACCGGACCGGTGATCGAACCGGAAATTTTTTTGGGTCATGGGTTAATATGATTTAATTGGGTTCAACTAGGTTCAACCGGGTTCGATAATATTTTACATCTTAATCAAAATAAAATTTGTCAATAATTATATTGTTTGAAAAAAAATTCATAATTTAAATCCAAAACAACATTAAAATAAAAAAAAGTAGCATTAGCAATAAATTAAAAAAAAAACTTGAATAGTCTAAATAAAAAACAACACTAAAGTAAAATAGATTAGCACATTCAATATTCCTTCTCCAAATCTTTAGTACCTTGAACAGACATAAAAACCAAATACATATTACTGAAATGTTCTAAAATTTGAATTATAGAATGAAAAAAAAATAATTAAAAAATAAACTCTTCACTATCTCTAGGATATTCTTCAAGTCACAGTGTTAGTTTATATAATAGATACAGAAAGTCTAAAACCAACTAAACTCAACAACAAACTTTAATCGAAAGTTGGACACACCTCATCTTAATTGCAGAGAGATTTAGAAACGAAAAAACAAAAGAAGCATGATAAAACTGTGAAAGAGTTAGGATTTTAATAAACAAGTTGAAGTCTCAAAGACATAAACACTAAAAAGGAGAAAAAAATAACAACTTAATTACGTCTTTTTCTGTTTTTCAATTCAACTCGGTTTGATGTAGTTTGACGGTTCGATCGGTTTTATTGGCGGTTCAATTTGGTTTTTTAACCGATTTAATTTTCTGTGGGTTATGATACAAATCTAACCCGGTTATATGTCCGATTCACGGTTTAATCTGGTCGGACCGCCGGTTTGTTCCGGTTTTTAAAACATTGGTGATGACAAATTTATGCATTTGAGATGACCCCAAAACAACATGTGTTCATAGTCTTAATCTAATAAAACAACATACGAGTAATCGAAGAGGGATAAAAAGACTGTCTATTACTCTCCATGGTTATTTGATTGAAGCATTCTTCGTGGAGATGTTGAACTTATCATTAACATAGTTTGTGTTTTTGGAGTCAAAGTTTTCGCTTTAACCAATTTCCAAATCACTTATAGTCGCAAGATATAAATCCATAACTGAAAACCAAAAGACAACAAAAAAAGGTTATATTGTTTTTCAGTCTAACATATTTATTTTGAGAATTCATACCATTTTCTTGACTTATATTTAAAACAAGAAAATTAGGAATCAAATTTATGGTGTTGGGTATTTAATATACTAATCCTAGATCCCTTACTCAAATATCACTAATTCCTAACTTGAATTACGGTTTCTAAACATATTGTTAAGCAAGAGAATTTCATCACAAACATCTTCTCTGATGCATCAGAGGAAAAGGGCTATACAAGTACCAAATGAAGAGTGTCTAGAAAAACTACATACATAGCTAGTGCATTATCTTCTTCAAAAGTTTTACTACGTGTTCTAAATCTAGGTGGGTGGCTTGGGAAGGTGATCGTTAATACTAAGAGGTTTTTTGTTGAAGAAAATGTCATCCAAAGACAGGTAATGTGTTTTTTCTCTGTTTTTATTATGTTAACTAACTATTGATAATTGTGTTTTTTTTCTTTTCCCCAGACATATTTGTTTCAACTGATGCATAATTTGCTGCAATAGCCAATAGAAACCCGAAGATGTTGGTATAGGTTGTGGTAGGAATGAGTTTTAGTGATCATGGATTATGGTTTCACGACCCCCTAATCATATGCATCTTGGATTTTGTGGAAGTAGATTGCTTGTGATTGATTTACTGGTAGCTTTTATCACACCTGATTATTATATATTTACATACACCATTTAATATCTTTCATCGTTTAGATGTTGACGACATCATTTTTCTTCCATGTACCGTATAATGTTTTTGAACCCGATTCGAATTCTTCCTTACGATTGTTCTAAATGGAGAAGTTCTGTTGGTTGAAGCATACAAAAACGACATGGTGAATATTATACTAAATAGAATCAGAATTACAACGACGATTCTAGTGTTACAAAAACAACAAGGTGAGCATTTGGATATCTACAGATTCTCTCAGCTTCTAGCTGCTCTTGTTATGCTGTATTTTTCCTCCACTAATGGTAACAAAGAATTTGCTAAAAACTTCATCCCCAAATTCTTAACAAAGTGCAGAGACTTCTTTAGTATGACACACAATCATATCTTACCAATAACATTAGAGTTGTGTAGACTGTTTAAGAAAATTCGTCCTGATAAGAAATTCTATTGGTCTTGCTGGAATGTATTAACAGCTATTGTTGTCATATTGTTTAGTATGGAGATAAATGTTCAATTCACACTAGCATTGCTGAAGTTGTGAGTTATGTTGAAGTGGTTATGAAATTAGTGACATCTATGAAAAAAAATATTTGGAGGATGTATTATTGCTATGCTCACAATATTTTTCTGCTCTTGAATCATATAATTGAATTAGGTTTATCGTTGGATGAACTGTATTGTATTAGATTTGTCGAGAAGTGCAAGAATTGTACACTATCTATCCGCTTATCCTTAACTTAATAAGATGGCTCAGAGCCTGGTACACCAAGCATATCGGCATATTGCTTGTTCGGCGGCTTCAAGAACTAATCAGTGTTGTAAAGTTTAGAAAGACTTCATTATGCACCATTATTATCAGATTTGCAATGAGAGGTGATGAGCACCAATAGTTATATGAGTTCAAGGAATTAACTAACTTTGAAGTTATGAGACATTTGACGATGTTGCAGCTTCTTAATGTGGGTTATATGCATAAAAAGAATATCATAATACCTCGATCTGATGACTCTGATCTATTAGTGGAATCTTTCAGATAAATCCGAAATGCAAGCCATGAGTCACTCCAACATGGTATTTCTGTGTAGTTTAAGCATGAGGACACCATAGGCGATGGTGCCACTGCAGCTGAAGAGATATTCAGTTGTAAACATGATTCTTCTTCTTCATTCTATGTTTCATATCCTGACCATCTTAGAAGATTTTTCTAAAATCCAGGTATACCTTGTGCCATTAGAAGCTATGGGTTTTGGAGTATTTGATATCTTGATATCAATATACTCGGATTTTTATAATGACTGATTTTTGATTTTGTTATCCATGCAGGAGTTGACATACTAAAAGGTTTTTGTTGAAGAAAATGTCATCCAAATGTCGGTAATATGTTTCTTCACTTATGTTGTTTATGTTTTTTTTCTTCTATTTCTTGATTATGCGAACTAACTATTTTTAATTGTTTCTGTTTTATTTTCTCTCAGACATATTTGTTTCTATGGATGCAGAATTTGCTGCAATAGCCAACATAAACCTCAAATATGTTGTATACTACCATGTGACGCTCTTGGTAGGTTGTGGTAGGCACGAGGAGAATAACCCGTTTAGGGAGTTTCAAAAAATTGCTTAAGATGAATTCGGTGATCATGATATGTTAGGGTGGCAGGTCATTAATCAAGAAATTTGTTCTAATAGATGTAAATATATGTTCTCAATTAAAATATTATTTTTCTAAAATAAACCTTAATGTTTGTATTTTTTTCTTTTTTTGTGGAGATATGATTCCAACAAATCTCTTTTCTTAACAAATCTCTTTTCTTAACAAATCTCTTTTTCGTTAGCGAGTCTACGGGGGAGAGAGACAAATATAATAGAATTTTAACTATTACTTATCAAAATTCTGGTAAGTAATATTTGAAATTAATTTTATTATATCTGTTTTTCTGTTTCTTCAACAGAATTCTTAAAAAAAAATAATAATAAAGTTATACTCTGCATTTGAGAGGTTCTAAATTAAAGCACATTGTTAATCTATATCGAAAGGTTGAGAGGTTTTTTTTTTTAAGATTCCCACCTGAGGTTGAGAGGTTCTTTACACCATTTATAACAAGGCGTCTTCTTAATGTTTCTTTCTATATAGTTTTGGATAATAAAAATCGTTTTGATTTTGCTTACAAAAGTACTTTGAGCAAAATTCAATGTACGTACCAGTATGAATTCCACATATCCTTCATATTTTTGTTGGATGTGCTCACTTTATAGATATACCTCTCAAAGTATTTAGGAAGAATTGCAGATGTGTTATGGAAAATCAAACTAGTAGATATTTATTTATAATTTTTAAAACAGCTTTTTATTGGTTATTTAAAATGATATGTTATTAGTTACTAGAAAAAATACGTTAACATTGTTTTTGTTTTAAAATTCACTCTATTGCATACAGTGGCGGAGGCAGCACCTATGGAGGTGGGTCAGCTGACCCAGGTGAAATCAAAAAAAAAATTGAATTGTTGGATTATAAATTATCTCATATTGATAAAGTAGTATAATTTAGAAATGGAAGTTGCACTATTAATAAGAAATCATCTTAAAATATTAATTTATAAGTTGTGGACTCATTCTAAAACTTATAGATATTTAGAAAAGAAGCTTCACATTAGTTTTTGTTTTCTAAAAAGGGTAGCTGCATATTGATCAACAAACTATAAATTTCAACTAATTCAAATGAAACTTCAATTCCCCTTTTATTTTTGGAAATCCCTTAAGAGGTAGTTAAGTTGCTTGACTATTTATTTTAAGTAATTTAAAATATAGACACCAATCATCGATGTTTGTGATAATAACACATAAATTTTTAAATATTATATTAAGATTAATATATTTTTATATTCTTTTTGTTGCGACCGCAACCGTGAAAAAGTGTTTTTCTGCAGTAAAAATTGTGAAGACGACTTCGTGTATTAGCATTTTTGATGAGTCTTAAACGATTTTCTAATTTTTTAATTAAAATATAGGTGCTTGAAACTATCACAAATGAAACGGTAATAAAACAATTTCAAAATATGAATGAGCGTAGAGTATACTTTTGAAATGTTTATCAATGGTCAATTTTTTTTCATTAAAATTTAGATAATTTTTTCTATTGTGACCCATGTCAATAATTTTTCTGCTTCGCATATCATATCCATTTTTTACCATTCCAAAGTAAAGTCTACTTTATTTTATACCATAATACGACGTATTCCGTTCGTCTACTCCATACTCTAATATGCGTTTAGGTGTACTAAAACGTTGGTCTGATTGGTTCGATCTGGAGTGTACTGAGCCACTATTTAAAACCTTAGTAAAAGAAGTTGCGTAAAGAAGAGAAGCGACCAGGTCGTTAATGGCAATTAGTGATCGAGTTATAGACATAATTAAACCGTGCAGTTTAAATAAAACCAACACTACCATCCCTTTTCAAAAACTGCATTTGTTTCCCCCTTCAATTCGTTCGCAGGCTGAGAGGTTCGTTACACCAATTCTATAAAGTTTCTTTCTATAGTTTTGGATAAAAGAATCCTTTTGTCGTTTTGATTTTTCTTACAAAACTATGTGAAGCAGAATTCTATTTAAGCACTGATGTGAATTATAGTACTCCTTCACATTTTGTTGGGTGTGATCAATTAATCTTTCGAACACCGGGGCAGAGTTGGGTCGACGATACTTTGGTCTCGAATATTTGGAGATAAATAATCAGACTCATCGATAGAGATCGTGTAGCAAAAGTGTATTTGGTTTGTTATAAATTCCAGTTATATAATTTTGTTGATTTAAGTTATTTCTTAGAATAGATTTTGTTTTAAGTCATAACCCGAAACTAATATATAGCATACGGATAGTTCATGATCTAGTTTATTTCAGCTGGGATGATTAAAGTCCCAAAACATCAATACGGACAAAACAAAACAGATATATATATATATATATATATATATATATGTGATATGATCTAGTCGGTATATATTTTGCATGTTCTATTTCTATAAACCATGCGTATCTTTGTTAAAAATTATAACAACTAATTCTGTCAAATAGTTAAGATCAATGTTGAGTTTTTGTAACTTTTAACTGAAATATACAAAAGAAACCGTTTAGTTGAACTTAATATGTCTGTCGTAAAATAGTCTCATCTTTATATAAACAAATTTCTTCCATTGGATTTCGCACTTTTCCATATGAAGCTACACAAAGAGCATCACGGAACATATTCTAAGTTTCCTATTGAAAAGGTTGCAACAAAATTAATCAGTTTGTATTTTAGTTAATTAAATACATGCATATATATGTTAAAATTTGTGAAATTTGAAAAAAAATATATCATGTTGAAACATTTGGAAGTAAACCAAAGAAAACAAAACTTATAAAATAGCATTATATTACATTACAGAAAAGACAAGCGTGTAGAAACAAAATATAGACTAGTAATTAGCATGAATAACGCCTTTTAGGAAAATAGCCTTCCGATCCATGCATGCAACACTGTATACAAGTCTACAACTTGACTTTTTTTTGGGGTGAAAACTCACTATACCTTGATTAAATAATAAACTTTCCTAGCTAACACTTTTGAGGTTTGGATTATTGTTTTATCTGTTAGCTACTTTTTATATTATCAATTTTTCCTTAGTATAAGCATTACATCGACAACTAGACACGTGATGTTGGAATATATATACTTCTAGTACTATTATATATCACCATCCGATATCATAATCGGATTAATTCGGAACTTCTTTACATCCAACGGCACTCATTAATCGACATTAATTTTTAAACAATAACACTTTTGTCTCTGATATTCTTGAAGACTTGCGTTAAATTCCATAGCTTTTTTTAGGTATCTTGCTATTTTAACACTAAAAAATAGACGATGATAAACAGATCAAACTATTCTCCGATGCAACACATATAGTATATAGACGATCATTTTGAAAAGAAAAGAAAAAACATATTAAAATTAAACAGTACACGATCCAAACTGCAACATATTGAAATTTACATACATATATTGCTGGAATCTGAAACTCAAATCTCATAATTCATTGATCTACCACTCGATCGATGGGAGTCCATATAGCCACACGTCAACTTCTTTTAAACTAACAAGTAGAAGTGATGGCAAAATTTTATAAAAGGATAAAAGTGATAATTAAAATATATATATCTTTTCTTTTTCTTCCCCCTACTCTCAAGATTCTCTACGGCTCTACCCGTACAGTTTCTCGTGTGTATATATATATAAGAGACCAAAGAGATTTCAGAACACAAGCTCAAGTTACATAAGTAAATACTCTAGTTCCATATAGTATAATATAGTCTACAAAAACGAATCTGTGTCTTGTTTTGAGTTCGTGGGTTAACATATATGTATACACAGTTGATGGGAAGAACTGGGATCGCCAAAGCACCAAAGCTCCTGTTAAGGTCAACGCCACAACCACTCTCATCAGTTTTCCTCTATTTTCACTAATCAAATACTATTAACCACAAAATACGTCATAGAAAGTGAAAAGAACCCACATAAATCTTCGTGTTAATTACTTAATAAGAACATTTTCGTAGACTTTGTTAATAGAAAACCAAAAAATTAGCATATTCGTGAAAACCTAATTAAAAGAAATGCATACCAGAAACTTTTTACCGAATATTTTTTATAAAATCATGTTTTGATATTATGATAGGGTGGGGTAAAAATAAAATCTTTAAGTAATTAAAATGTGTGATCTGTTAGTAAGTCTAATATAGAAAGCTTGGAGGTCTTTTGTGAATAGAGCTAGAAAAGAAGAAGAAGTAAACACGAGGTTTATTTTATGATGATGATGATTTAGGAGTTGGAGGCAAGTTCAAGGGCGTTCAGGGATAAGCAGCAAAGCGGCAAAACCAAATCCGACGACGGTCGTCGTTGACTACTCTGAAGATATTTCCGATCATCATAGAGTAGAGACCAACTGTGGTGGCGAAGAGGAGTGGGTCCCACACCCACGTACCGGAATATTCTTTCCGCCGGGACAAGAGTCGGTGATGGACGGCGTCCCTGATGGTGCTGCTTCCTTTGACATGACGTTTTGGCTCAGGAGCGTCGACGGTGTGGATAAACCTGATCCTGACCATCATTCCCCTAATTGAATTTTTTTTTTCTTAATAAATGATGGGACTATAGTATAAAGTAATTATAGCAAAAAATAAATAAATCCAAGGAATGGTATGTACTACCCAACGTTTGACTATGATAATTTACAATACTTAAATTAATATATTTGCTGCAATGATCGCTTTATTTTTATGAATTGAATGTAGAATTAATTCAAGAAATCGGATATGTTATACAATAGTATGCATCTTACTTAAGAGTTTTGGAAAAGAGATTAGACTAATAGCTAAAGAGATTACAAACGAATTTCATCTTTGATCTTTTCGTGTGAAATTGCTTTTGTAAAATATAGAAATATATCATAGATGTGTTCGCTCATATTTCAAATAGATGGTAAGACGATTTTGTTATATTGAAAAAAAAAAAATCAAGGACGGTCAGGATTTGCAAATCCGACGGACGGTCGTCGTCTGACTACTGAGAAGATATTTCCGATCACAGAGTAGAGGAGATCAACTGTGGTGGCGAAGAGGAGTGGATCCTGCATCCACGTACCGGAAATTTTTTTAAATCAAGATAGTTGATACAACTTGTTTATTAATTTTGAAAACATGTTTGCATTGAATATTTTAAATGCAGAGCCGTATGTAGAGCCGTACCTGAGATTTATCTAACTACAAGCAAAAACAAAAATTTGGTCCTTTTAAACTTTTCTAATGCAGTTTAGCTCACAAATAATTGGCAAAAAAAAGAAAAAATGACAGATATACGTTTGGGGAAAATTGAATCCAGACAAACTTCTAATCAAACATGCTTTCACCTATTCACAAACCACTTGGACTAACTCAAATTCTGGAAAATTGGCCTCCAAAAAATATTTAACTCTTCCGGCCCTGAAGCACATGCTTCATTAACCTGTGCTCAAACACAGCTCTGTTTAAATGATAAGTTATTAGTTACTCTAAAAAAATATGCTAACATTGGTTTCTTTCTGATTCACCATTCAAAAAGTAAAGTCTACTAATTTATTGTATATATACCATATAATACGACTTCTTCCGTCTTCGTCTCCTCCCTACTAGCTCTCTAATATGCGTTTTGTGTACTAAAAATCTAAAATCCAAACTGAGATTCTTTGTTTTAGATAATTACTATTGGTTTGGTGGCTAAGTCCACCCGAAGACTTTTTGTTGAAATTACCTTAGGTTTTAGAGTCTTTAGACAACAGAGAAATGAAATTTAAGATGAAAATAATAGTAGAAAACACTTCCCTGGTATAATTAATCAACGAATTATATGAGGCAAAAATTCCATATAACATTCGTAAACACATGCAATGCCTACATGTGAGTCATATAGTCCATCTACTCATGTAATGAGTAACGGCCCAATGTATTCTTTTCAATTAAATTTGATGTTGGAAATCTAAATTGTAACCTAAAAAAATTGCATTCTTTTCAGATTTTTTTTAAAATAAAAAAATGATTGATAAACGTTTAGACCATATTTAATGCAAGAACTTCTCATGGAGTTTTTAGTTAATATTTAAATATAAAATTTATGTTAAGAAGAATTCTGAAGTTTTTTTGTTGCAATGGTATAACCGTATTAGCGTTCTTTTTTTTTTTTTAAAAACTAGTTAATTTGCTCACGTCTCACGTAGGCTATATATGTCTATCAAGTATAATTTTATGAATAAATAATTTTAAAAACATTAATTTTCTTTTTATCTATGTTCTAAATTAGACGAATCCAAAATTTACAAATAAGTTTTTAATTTTAATAAAAGGATTAAAAAATCTTTCTAAAATATATAGATAAGAAATCGAAAATCCTATTCTAGATATCATAATTAACGACATTTTATTAAACATTTTTTAACTTTTTTCTTAAATTTTTATTAAATTTTAGTTTTATAAAATTATAGAAATCGAAAACCCTATAAAAATAAGAAATCGTAAACATTATAATAATTAGTGATATTCTAACATAAATTTTGTTTTTTTACTTTGAAACAATATTCTAAATTTTATTCCAATTTTTGTTTCTTTTAACATTTTAGTAAAACCTAAATTTTGGAAACATAAGAAATGGTAAATTTCTAGTTTTTGTGTTTTAAAAAAAACGTTTTTATCTAATTTTTTCTAAATTTCGATTTAATATAAATTTAAAAACGGTTTGATTGACTATGGTTTTTTTGCCCATAATAATTTAGACCGGTTTGTTTTAAATTATTTTTTTATACATCATTAGATAAGAACCAATCAAATAATGACACGTAATTGGAAAATATGGTTAAATGGTCTTTTTGCGGCCGAAACTCATTCTGGAATTGACACGTAAGCGAAAGGTGGTGAAACTCACTGTGAACGCGATGTGTAAGCAAATCATTGTTTTTGTTGGGCCCATCGGGCTTAATTCATATATATGAGGTTGATTGGTGCTAAGTATTGTTCTCATTCCATCCCTTTAAAATATATTTTTTTGTGAAACTGAAATATATAGGTCAATCAATGGATCGAGATTTTCGTGGGACGTGGTTCCGAGCAGCAAATTGGTATCAGATCGAAGAAGCAGCAAATTGGAATGGAGAGAAAAGAGGACAGGTAATTTTTATCCGATCCGTGAGGTAGCTAGGCAATCTGTATGTATGTATCCCTCGAATGTACGTAGAATTTGTATGATCACACCAGAGAGGGCTTTGATAGATAATTTTCGGACTTGGTTTCTCACCTCCTAACATATATAGAAAAACCCTAAACTCCTTCTTCTTCATATATTAAGGAGCGCTTCGCTTTGCCTTTGCAACATGCAATGACATGTGTGATGACGAGATTGACGACGAAGGAGGGCGAGGGGGTTTATGCTATAGCCTCTACTTTGATGTCATTGAGAGGTTTTGTCGAAGGCTTGACATCCCCTGGTGTGGATATTCCCGTCAGTGCTTTTGGCCTAGGACTAGTCACCCCTGGGGATATCAGGAAGGCCAGTACACTGCTTCAGACGAAGCCACAATTCGCCACGGTCCTGGCGTTTCAAGTGGAGGTGACTCCAGAGGCGAGTAAGCTAGCAGAAATATTGGGAGTCAAAGTAATCTGTGGCGACTCGGTTGAGCACCTGTGCCAACAGTTTAACGAGTACATCAGGGAGCATCAAGGAGAGGCAGAGGCAGAGAGTGATGATGAAACAGTCTTCCCATGCTGCGTCGTCCGCGTCTTACCCAATTGCGTGTTCAACAAGGAAGACCCAATTCTCTTGGGAGCTTATGTTGTTGAGGGTTTGGTTAGGGTATGGTTACTTTGATTGTGCATCACTTTCCTAGCTAATCGATCCCAGTACTTAAGTTGTCTTTAATTTTCCTTTTGCATTGCTTCAGGTAGGGACTCCCTTATGCATTCCACACCGAGCCTTTATGAACATAGGACGGGTTGCATGGCTTGAGAAGGACCAGCAACCCGTCGAGGTCGCAAAGCAAGGCGAGAAGGTGATTATCAAGGTAAGGTTTTAAGATTAGTACTCCACATCGATCACTTTGGTCCTTAATTATAAGCATGGAGCAAAATTGATTTTTTTACTTGGTTCCTTGTCTTCTTGTCATGCAGATTGTTGCTGCTGATCCCAAAACACAACAACGAGTGATGTTGGGAAGAGAATTTCACGTGGGAGATTTTCTTGTCAGTCGCATCTCAAGGAGATCTATCTACCATTTCATTCCAAGTTAATGACTGGGTCATTTAATTTTCTCGGTTGTCTAGTTTAAGCTTTAATTAGTGTTTGTTGTTAACGCCTCGCTTAATTAAACATTATCTCATGCATATCCTGGAAAATGTTTACATTTCTCTCTTTTGATTCATAATATAAGTCTTTTAGATGGGATACCAAAGAAAGAGATGAAATATTGACCAGAAAAGAAAAGAAAAACTTAAAAAAAGAGACTGAAATCTTTAAAAGACATTATTTTATAATGACAAACAAACAATTAAAGCAGGCCGACTTTTGGAGTAGAGCTTGCTTGACCCTAAAAAAAAACACGATTCTTTTTTTTTGTTATTATTAAATGATATTGAAAAGGCTCTTGAGATCACGCACCAACTTCCAGTCACTCATAGATAATGCGTCCTGCAGAAAATAATTTCAGTCTGGGTAAGAAAATGGTTTAGGGTTGTAAATGATAGTACCAAATAAAAAAAAAAGGTTATATATTTCTCGACCCGGTAACTAGCTTTGAGCGCATTGATAGATCTCCTGGAAATGCGACTGACAAGAATATCGTCTTTAATGTCCAAATGATGGCTTCCCAAGCTACGTCCTTGTTCAATCTGTGTATAGCAAATTTATAAAGCTTAGTTTTTTTTGTTTTTTGTTTTTTCCATGTGGATATGATCATCTCAAATATAACCTACCTTGATAATCACCATCTCGCCCAACCTAGCATCCTCGACGGTTCGCTGGTCCTTCCCAATCCATACAACACGTCCTATTTCCGGACAACCACTTGCCAGACTGCAAATGGGAGTTCCGACCTGAAACCAAAAAAAAAATGAATTAAGCTGTAATTAAAGAAGCAGCAAATAATATTCATTCATTCATATTAAATAATAATAAAAAAAAAAAAACCTTGAGGAAACCACGGACAACTAAAACTCCAAGGACAACGGGATCTTCCTTGTTGAACACAAGGTCTGGTAAGATGCGGAGGACGCATGGGAAGATTGCTTCTTCTTCATCATCATCATCATCCATTTTTGTCTCCTCTTTGAATTGTTGGAGCAGCGTTTCAAGCACACAGCCACAGATTACTTTGACTTCCAATCGTTCTGCCAGTTGACTCGCCTCCGGAGTCACGTCCACTTCAAACGCCAAGATCGTCGTCTGCCTTTGTTTCACGTCCTCCTCACTCATTTTATAGGCCTTCCTGATCTCCACTGGTGTGATCGTTCCTACGTCTAGTGCTCTAACAGGTATCTTCACCGTTTGGGATGTCAAGAACTCTAGCAATACTTTCAAGGAACAAGTGGTAGAAGCTACAGCTAAAACACCACCCTCGTCACTTTTCTTAAAATTCTTCACATATTCCATATTGGAATCGTTTCCAAACCCCTCCTCCTCCTTCAAAATATACACATGGTCACACATCCATTTATGAGACTACATATATATATACACTAAGCATAAGAACAATCAGTACATAAAGGATCCGATATCAAAATCCTTCCACATCCACTAAAAATTCTTTGTGATATATCAAATCCATGAACCAATAATTATTGTATATAGACATCGTGCAAATTCTAAATGCTCACGAATCAGGAAAATAAAATTGAACATCTATCGAATCAAAATTACCATCTCTGCTATCCAAGATGCTCCTCCGCGTGGACAGATAGGAATCTCTATAACTTCTCGATCCGTTAACCTAGGCAAACTAAACTTCCACAGAAAAGAAAACGGATTAAATAATTAGGAATTCATTATCGATAAGAAATTAAAGGCCAAAATCACGAAAAAAAAGCATACTCGAAACTCCAAATCGCCATCGAAGGTGAAGAAATCGAGTGGCTTGATTGGCTTTGACGACGAAGTTGCTCCGTCGCACACACTAACTTATATATTATATGAAGGGAAAAGGCCCAAAACCAATATAAGATACCCATAACTATTTAAATACCAAAATAATTCAAATTTTTTGCCCTAACTTTAATATATGTGTCCAAATCTGTTTTGATTAATTTTGATGTTAATTAACTGTTTAAAAAACGCTGATAGAATATGATTTGTCATGTCACATTGCCACCTTACTAAAACTATGTCACTTTTGTAAAAAAAAATCAAAATCAAAATCAAAATTTTTTTCCTCTTTTCTGACGGAAGTAAACATATATAATTATATAATGTTGGTTTAGGAGTTGGAGGCAAGTGCGAGGACGTTCAGGGATAAGCTGCAAAACCAAATCCGACGACGGTCGTCGTAGACTACTCCGATCATAGAGTAGAGATCATCAACTGTGGTGGCGAAGAGGAGTGGGTCCCGCACCCACATACCGGAATATTCTTTCTGCCGGGACAAGAGTCGGTGATGGACGGCGTCCCTGATGGTGCTGCTTCCTTTGACATGACGTTTTGGCTCAGGAGCGTCGATGGTGTGGATAAACCTGATCCTGACCATCATTCCCCTAATTCAAATAACTGTATCATACAAAAAAATTGTTATTCTGACTGAAAAATGCAAAAAAAGAAAAATTCATGATGGGACTATAGTAAGTAATTATAGCAAAAATCATTCCAAGGAATGGTATGTACTACGCAACGTTTGGCTATGATAATTTCATATGATGCATGATGGTTCAATAGCAATACGATAATTAATACTCCCTCCGTATTTATTTAATTGTTTTTTTAAGATTATGCAAAATATTAATTGTATTAATTTTTCAATATAAAAACATCATTAATTATCTATTTAAATACAATTCAATCAATAATAAAATAAATTGCATAATAAAAATAACTATATACATATATCATGTTATTTTATCAATAACTCTCTAGTCTCTCTATCTTTCTTAGAATATGTGTTTATTTGTGAACGTATTGGAATTGTGGACACTTATTTATATAATCGATAGCAATCCTATGACTAATAAAATTAGGTTTTATAACTACACTCGTTTCTTATCCTATTATTACTACTAAAATGATTTGCTTTTCTCACGATATACTCACAATTCCTTAAAATATTATATTTAATATTTGATAATGTCAACACAAAATCAAAGAGTTTCGTTCCACTTTTATTTACTTTATTGCAAATTTTATATTCTATTGTAAATATTATTGCTGATTATTTTACAGATAAGCTTGCTCTGTTTATGTTTTCTTTTTATTTTATTTTCCTTTTTTCTGTTAATGAGACATTTTCAGATATATGCAAATAAAATTGAATTGTTTTTTTTTTTATGAAAGTTTTTCAGATATATACTAAATAATTTTTTTTTAATAAAACTTTTTCAGATATATACTAAAATTTACTTAATTTTAAAGATGTGGACCAATAAATTTGCCTTTTTTAAGCCTATGTGGATGTGGACATTTTAGAAGCATTTAGCTTCAACTTTTATTAGTAAATAGGATGCACACAGATTAAGAAAATATTAATTGTATTAATTTTTCAATATAAAAACATCATTAATTATCTATTTAAATACAATTCAATCAATAATAAAATAAATTACATTATAAAAATAATTATAAAAACATAAAAAACTAATAAATGTTGCATTGAAAACTGAAAACGACAACTAATTAAAAACAAACAAAGTTCTCTAAAACGACAATTAATAAAAAACGGAGGGAGTATAATCGTTGTGATGATCACTTTTTGTGTGCTAGTTTAAGCATCAAAGTAGGGTTTTTTTTTGTTAAAGGGCCTTAAAGAAGTTTATGTAAAAATATAGTAGATGTTTTAAATTGATGGTAAGACGATTTTTTTATATAAAAAGAAATTGTTCATCTTTCAACATGAATCTGCGCTATTATTAAGGTATATGACTGATCACTCGTTTTATTTAATGTTACATTTTAGTTTTCTTATTCAGTTTAAAACTAGTGCATTCTTACAGCTTCCTTGAATTACTTTGAGGATGACACTTCAATAATTTTCCTCTCAGCTGGCTTCTCGTTTAATAAAAAGAGGATTCCATGCTTTATCAAACACGACTTAATCAGAACATATACAAAACGTTAACAAACAATAATAATTAGCTTAATTTTTTTCTAACATGCAGCCATATTTACCATATGGTTTGCTTTGATGAGTTGATCCTTGGGCTTCAGATTCACGGAGACTGCCCTTACGTACTGCCGTAGATTGGCAATCGATAAACTATATGAGGAACCTAAACCAATCTTGAATTGGTCTTTGTCTTGGTTCGAAATACTACTTGTAGTTTTCATGAGTGATTCTGAATTGTTCTGGAATAAAAAGTTCTCATTTACCAAATATTTAATTAAATTGAAATAAATGATATTAGTTCAAATACTCTGAATACATAAAGCAACTCATGAAATGTGACTACTCAGTTGTGAATAGTCGTAGGTTGGGATCAGTCACACTATGATTATCAGTACATGGCTGGCTTTCTTCTACTTTTGTTCCTTTGTATTTTATCTTATCATATGTGCTATATATATTCAATCCAAAAATGTATAACTCGATTTTATTTCCTCTCGTACATTTAGCTTCCTTGTATGTATAAATGTACTCTCACTCCCACGGCCATTTCTATTTCATGCAAGCTAACCGGTCAAGAAGTAATTATTATGACCGAACTTATCTTAAGTGACGTCACCTTTAGATTAATCGTAATTTTTTAGGGAAAATCATGTATTTAATCAATATGAAAGTTTTAGAACTGGTATATGGATTATTATTATGACCGAATCATATAGTTTACATACGGATGAAATGTTGAGTCTTACAATTATTCGCAGTTGCAGTTGCCTTGCTCGTTAGGTTTATTATGATCGATCTTTTTGTAGGGTAAGTAACATTGCTACATGGTATAGTAGATTAATAAATAAATTTAAGGTCAAGTTCAAAGGTTATTTATTTTATAGGTGGTGGGCACTCCTAATAGAAAGAAAAAAAAAACGAAGAGATTAAAATAAAAGGATTGTTCAACGAATTGAGTTGCCCTTAGAGATGGGTAATATTACAAGTCTTGAAGGAAATAAATTGGAGATCATAACTGTCAACATTCAAAATGGCAGTACTCACATCAATGATAGACTCAAACCCACCCATTTCATTTTAAAATGAATTTCTATGTACATTTACTTACCAATCTTTGCCGACAAATTTGTTTGATTATAGTATGTGGTTAAGGCTAGCACAAGTACGTTTTTACGGTTGTGTTTTTATCTCAAGTATTATATATAACTTCATCCCAGACCTTTCCTTTTCTTGTGATTTGAGATACGAAAATGAAGCGTAATTATCATATTTCTAATTTATAGGTTACTGTTAAAGTGAGTTACTGTTAAAGTGAGTTATATCTATATTCCTAAACTTAAAACATGAAAGTGGTACGCTTCTAAGTTTTAACAAATAGAATTTGTTGGTTAAAACTTAAAAAGGACATAGAATCCAAAGAATTGGGTGCGAAATGGGTAAAGACAAAGAAGAGGTGAAAGAAAAAGCAGTCAAAAATACAGAGTGGCTTAGTGACAGTGCAGCAAAGTTTCTCTTACACATCCATGTCTCCAATCAATATGCTCTAAAACCTTCCCACGTTCGTTCACATGCCCTTCCATTTCTTCCTTCTATTTTCTTTTATTATTATTATTCTCTACAGTAATGTGTCATATTTTCCTCTAGTATTTTTTTTCTCAAAGAAACAGTGTTGGGTTTGTCTATATCATTCTTTTGTCAATTTTGAACCTAAATGTGGCAATGGTGAAACACTGTATCTCAAACAGGTTGAGATCATTCTATGGACAGCATGTCTCCCTCGTCGTTGGAGATGTTTGTTTAATTACTCTGTTGAAGCGTTTTTGATTTTATTGAAATCAAATCAAATTTACATATGTAGGTCGCATGACCCTCGTATTTATGTCGCTAAGTGTACAGATAACGTATTTAATTATCTGTTTACTTGATTAATCCGCAAAGTTTAAGACGTTTTTTTGTAAATCTTGAATTTTCCACCGGTAAATAATCTGATTAGAGTTGATGTTGTCTAATCATAATTTAATGATTTAATGATCTCCAAGTTTGGGTCTATTCGGACTTTGGATCATATATTATTGGCTTTTTATAAAGCGTTTGATACAAAGTAAACGATACTTTTTAAAAACAAAAAATGATTCAAATTCAAAACGTGAGAGTGGCAACTTTTAAACACTATTGACGGTGAAGTTGGAACAAACTCACTAATCCAAATATTATCTTTAACGTGGACACGGATTAATGAAATTATTTGTGATTCGATCACATGCTATTTTGTAAAGATTTCCCTTTCATAAGAATATGTATAATGATCCAAATGATATCCTTTACATATTTCCTTTCAAAACCGGTGAAATTGTATCGTTGATGTTTTGAATGTGAATAACTCATGGAATTATTATTTTTGATCTAACCAATACTACAGATTCTAAATCCAAAAAGAGGATAGGGGGTTGTATCTTCTTTTTAAGTTATGAACTAGCTAAAATAACGTTTTAAGCATTTGGATTCACAAATCAAGTTGATTGTTCTATTCTATCTAACTAATACTAAAGCGATTTTGATTTCTGGCAAGTAGTCAAAACTTTTTCTAAACTTTTTTTCTTGGAAAAAAAAAGCATTTTCTCTGACTTTTATACCCAAAAGAGAAGAAAAAGGCATATCTTATAAGCGAAGGGATTTCGAATTTTGCAACATGAGGTGCCCACTACAAAAGAACAACAATCATGAATCATATATTCAATTCAAGAATCCTATTGAATACATGAAAACACTTAAAATTTATACATAAATCAACAGAAGAAAGGGGGATGTTTTCAGAAGAAGGGGGGGATGTTAAGACAAAAAAAATTAAAGGAGGAAAGCGAAGACAGTTGTGTTCTGAAAAAACAAAAACAAAAAGGTCATTAATTTTACCAAAAGCAGAAAGTTAGTCCCCAAGCATTGAAAGATGGTCAAAATGGACCCTCACCTTAATTTATAAGATCTTATCCCCACGACAATTAATTGAATACACCAAAAAACGATGGCGGTTTAAGAAGTAAATATCTAGCACCAAGCATACTTTAGTACTCCACTTCGTATCCAGAAATATCAGAAAATACATATTAAACCAGTTGTACAAACTATGTTTTGAGAAAAAATTGTTTTTTTTTTTTTTTTTTTTTCAACTAAAACACTATTTTATTACGAAAGCGGCAAGAGACTATCCCTGGAAGATAGCCAAACCGGAGCCGCGACGCTTACATGGGAGAATCTAATTCCACGTACCCTAGCGGCTTTCGCTAACTTATCGGCACGGATATTGCAGGATCGAGGAACATGGTACAAACTAAAAGATCTGAAACTCAGTGATAGAGTCCTAAAATCTTGTAATTCCGCTGCAAAGGTAGGCCATTCCGAAGGGTTCGAAGTCATCGAGATCAGGTCAGAGCAGTCTGTGTAGAAAGTCTCGCAGACAATGTGAGATGAGAGAATACATTTCATGGCCCAGATCAGCGCGTCCAACTCTGTGTGAAGGGGGATAAGCATCGAGCCGTGCCTCTTAGTCCTAAGAGAATAGAGTTCCTTCCCGAAATAACTTCCCAGCCAAGTCCACTTACAGTTGCTAATTCCAGCCATGATCCGTCGACATAGCATATGGGATCCCCGGTGATTGGAATATAGTTTGGTATAGATTCCACCTCTGGGCTGGTCACAACGGCATCCTCCTCATTTGCTCTCCTCCAAGCTATCTCCTCCGCCTTAGCATGCTCGAGAATATTAGGCGGGAGCTCATCCACATTTTCGAAAACCTTTTTATTCCGTGCTTTCCACAAGAACCACAAGACCCATGGGAAAATCCGAAGATGCTCTACACCAAGCCCAGAATCTTGAGCTCTCCAAAATAAATAGTCTAGGTTACCGAAAATGGAAGGCATGGGAAAAACATCGGGGGCCGAGGGGATCGTCGAAAGAGCCCAAACTTGCTTCGCCGGAGGACATTCGAAAAGCACATGGTTTATCGTTTCCTCCTCCGCTCCACATCTCGGGCAGCCCTTGTCACGGCTAATGTGGCGCAAGAATAAACGTTGACAAGTAGGAACACTGCCATTAACACATTGCCACACGAAATGTTTGATTTTCCGTGTGGTTTTTAATTTCCATGCTTGTGCCTTTAAGACTGAAATGTTTGGACCCTGAACAGGGAGGTCACAAGACAGACGAGATAAGGCTCTCGCGTTCCAATATCCGGATTTAACGGTATAGTTTCCGGATTTAGTAAAGATCCAACTGTATCCATCTCTCGAGTAGGCTTGACTCGGATGTATCCCTAAAATCAGGGTGATCTCCTCAGGAGGGAATAATTCTCGTAAACGATCAAGTTTCCACTGTTTCGTCGAAAAGTCTATAAGAGAGTTGACGTAAAGCAGTGGGTCTCGGTCCACCTGAAGTCCCTTCGGAGGGCGGGCCGGGACGTCAGGAATCCATGGCTCAGCCCATACACAAGTGTCAAAGCCCGATCCAATCGTCTTCCGGATGCCAGATGCGAGAAGGGGTTTTGCCGCTAATATACTCCTCCATCCGTAAGAGGGACGATTAGAGACATTAACCTCAAGAGGATTACAGAATTTAAAGTATCTCCCCTTAAGCACCCTGCATAAGAGGGAATTTGGGAACCTAAGGAGTCGCCATAATTGCTTAGCGAGGAGTGCTATGTTGAACTCTTCAAGAGTTCTAAAACCGAGTCCGCCCTCTGCCATTTGCTCGCAAAGGGACTCCCACGACGACCAATGGATACCCTTACTATCACTCTTTGAACTCCACCAAAAGTTTGCGATTGCACTTCTCAGTTTAGTGCACAAAACTTTTGGGAGAAGGAAGCACGACATTACATATGTCGGAATAGCCTGGGCTTGAGATTTAATTAAAATCTCTTTGCCACCCTTAGAAAGGAGCTTGGAGGACCACGAGTTTACCCGTCTTTGCAATCTATGCCGGACAAAGGCAAACACTTGGGCCTTAGAGCCTTGGATTTTCTCCGGGAGACCTAAATAAGATCCCATTCCTCCTTCCTGGGTAATGCCAAGGGTATCTTTAATCCCTTGTCTCGTAGAAGTCGGAACATCGTTGCCAAACATAATGGAGGATTTGGCAAAGTTAATACATTGGCCAGACACCTCGCCGTATAGCCGGATAATCTCAATGATCTCTTTGCTCTGATCTATATCTGCCTTACAAAAGAAAAGGCTGTCATCCGCAAAGAGGAGATGTGAGATTGGGGGACTCGCCCGAGCAATCCGGATCCCCTGTATCTTGTCGTTAGCTTCTGCGGTCTGGAGCTGAGAAATAAGGGCTTCTGTGCATAGGATGAAAAGGTAAGGGGAGATTGGATCTCCTTGTCTAATTCCACGGGAAGGTTTGATGCTCCCTCTTGGTCTGCCGTTGATCAGGACTTTGTATTTCACCGAGGTGATACAATGCATAACCCACCCAATCCACCGATCATCAAACCCCAACTTTTCCATTAGCGACCTAAGAAAATGCCATTCAACCCTATCGTAAGCCTTACTCATGTCGGTCTTAATTGCCATAAACTTTTTGCGACACGCGGGATTGGAGCGTAATGCATGAAAGTTTTCTTGTGCAATTAGAATATTATCTGTAATTAGTCTCCCAGCCACAAAGGCCGATTGAGTCTCGGAAATCAGATCTGGAAGGATTCGCTTCAAGCGTAAGCTCAGGACTTTGGATATAATTTTGTAGCCAACATTACATAAACTTATCGGTCTGAATCCAGACATCTCGCGGGGGCGATCACCTTTGGGGATGAGGCAAATATTGGTCTCGTTAAGCTGTTCATCAAACGAACCAGAACGCTGGAAAGTTTTGATCATAAGCAAAAGGTCACCCTTGATTGTCTCCCAGAATTTCTGAAAGAAAAGGGCAGTGAGTCCATCGGGACCTGGGGCTTTCCCCGGATGCAGAGAGAAGATAGCCCGCTTTACTTCCGCTTCAGATACCTCCCGTGTCAACTTCGCATTCATCTCCTCGTTAACTTTCACGGGGACGTTTTGAAGAACGGATGATGGATCTCTAGAGTTCGAGGAAGAAAATAGGGAGTCAAAGTAGCCAATTGCAATAGATTCCACCCCCTTTTCATTATCCGCCCAAATCCCTTCGGGATTGAGGAGTCCGAGGATCTTATTTCTCGCTCTCCTTTGCTTGGTTGCCGCATGAAAAAAGTTTTGAGAAAAAATTGTTAAAACCATGAAAATAAGATCTTGAGTGTAGATAGTCAGTCATAAATGTGGCCGTGTGGACTCGACTCTCGAGGGGTCCTCTTTCTCTTTCATAAGTTGCTAAACAAGTAGGAACAGTCTCTATCTATGTTCACATTATTATTATTATTACGATTATTAACCCAAATCCAAAAACACCATTTTCACATTATCGTTGATGAACGTGAAACGTTATTTGGTTATATTCTCTTTGGCCTCTTTCTTGTTTTGTTCACATTATGTTCTTCGCTTTCTTCTACAAGTGGCCAAGAGGATATTGGATCAGATCTCTCGCAGAGAGGCATTCACAAAAGACTGAAGATAAGAAAAAGCCAAAAACCATACATATCTCCATAAAGAAAGATGAACAACATCAAGATTCGTAGTTAGGGGATTGATTTTTAACACAAACACTTATGCTAGAAACTAGAAGTAAAAGCAGGCAATTCTCCTTCTCTTGCCTTCACCTTACTCAAAAATATTGAAGGTGAGAATTATAAATTAAAAAAAAAAGCCCAAATTGAAAGATAAGTAAAACCAAATCCAAACTCCATCCCATTCTCCTGAGATTAGAGTTAAAAAAGAAGAAGAAGATCCATTTGGATTCGATTTGAACCCGAGAGAATCTCTCCGGTTATGCTAAGAAACCTGACTCCTAATCCGATGAAGCTGCTAAAAAGGGTTAGCTTTGAGTTACCCGCGTATGAACACATTGCATCTGATCTTTTTCCACCTGAGAATCATCATCGGCTAAATGCTACCTTCAAGAGTTGTTTTTTAGTCATAGAGCTTCTCTTCAAACGTTAGACATCAGCATGCCAAACCGGCCGGTTATCTTCAAACCTCCCGTTCTCCAAGGCTGCAACTTTAGCCCTATGAGCAGCAGACAATGCCACCGCGTTGCTCTTCCCTCTTTCCTCTTGTGGGTACTCGCAGGATTCGGTTAAAGAACCGGTCTTTAGATCAGCAGGTGGTATAAAGCAGTCTAGAGATAGACCAGGAACGTTAAAGGCAACTTCCTCAATCGTCCAGCTTTCTTCCATCTTCGTCCTCGTGTGGCTCATCGCCACTTCCCCAAATCTGAAAAGGGTCACAACCGAATGTCCTGAGTGAGCGATCATGATCCCTTCGACCAGGCGGTAATCGTCTAGGGAAGAGTTGTATGTGGTCTCCCAGAAAACAGTATCTCCACCGTTGGATTGGATCCGGGTCAAATGGGAATCCTCGATGTGAACCAAGAGCCCTGTTTTCTGGCTGAAGTAGCCAAAGAGGACGTGCCTTATGATCTCTGCCGGTCCTTCGCTCCTCGCCTTTAACGTTTCAGGGTCAGTGCAAAGCTTCAAAATGAAGCAATCTTCACCATTCACCTTCTTCTCTCCTATGCACTTGGCTTCCGCAAACATTGCTGCAGTAGTTCTCGGATCAAGTCCCTGTATATCATTCACAAAACCCACTAAGGATCTCTTTGATCCCTCGAACCAGGAAAAAGAAAAAAATCTGATCTTTTTTTTTTTGGTTACCTGAAGTCCACGGCGGAGAGGTCTAACGGGTCCTTTAGCGGTATGAGAACCGAGCCAAGGAGTGTGTCGCCATACGAGCTTGCCGTTGCAGCCAGCACGAACCTTGTTACCACCTACCGCAAGCTCAACGTACCACATGTCTGGATTCATCTGCCAGAGAACGAAACCTCCAGTCTCAGCCTTGGATGGGTTCCGGTTCCTAACTGTTCTTGTGGCGGTTTCGAGCTCTGAAGTTATCATCTTGAGTTTCCCCATCGCATAAGCGTTTTTAAAGGAGTTTTGTAGCTTCTGGCCACCGGAAGCTGCAGTGTACTGTTGAAGAATATACTGAGCAGATGATGTCTCCTGCAAGTAACAAACATATCACCGGAGAGGTAAAAAACAAAAATTAGTAATCGATGAATAGTATAGTCTTAGGAAGAAAAAAAAAAATCAAATCCCACCAACGAAAATGACGTCAATTTCCACCAACCAACGACCAATTAAAACATTCGGAAGAAAGAAAATTCGATTTTTTAAAACAAAAAACTCGAAATGCTAAATCTGTAAAGAAGAACAAAAATAATCGAGAACTCAGATCTTGAGTTGAACGAACTTTAGAAATCTCGAGAAAAACTTTCTAAATTAAAACTGAAAACAAAAAATTCCGAGTAACATTTGAGGGAAAATAAAAGATGACATTGAAGAAAAATCTGAGCTTTAAAAGGAAGAAGAAGAAGAAGAAGAAGAAGAAGAGAGAGATGACTAACGATTGGGGTATTTTTGATGCTAAGATGAGGCAAAGGATCAGCGGAGGAGACATGAATCGGAGCAAGAGGAGCTCCCATAACTCCGAGAAGAAGCCTAAGATCATTTCTCCGGTAAGCCGCCGTCGCAGCAACGGACGGAGCGCGAGACAGCTGTCCCTTGACCCAGTGACCTAAACCCGACCCGAGCCGCTTAGATTCTCCAATATTCCCTCCTCCTCCTCCTTCGTCTGGATCAGGACCTTCCATTACGGGTCTCAAGCTTCCGGATCTCCCGATTACCTGCTCCGGCTGAGCCAAGTAATATCCGGCGCCTCCTCCTCCTCCGCCGCCGGTGAAGTTCTTCCTCCCCCATGAGAGAGCTGACATGGGCGAATTAGAACGAGCGGGGCTAACGGAGCGAGACCTTGCCCTGGAACGCGACGGCGAGAGACCCCTCACAACTTCGTCTCTGAGAGCAGAGAAGAACCCTTGCTTTTTCTCCATTTCTTCAACTTCTTCCTCGTAACGTAGCTTGAAATTACCAGATTAAAAAAGTTTAACAGAATCAGCTTAAGAGCTTCTAGAGAGAAAAAAAAAAAGATCTCAACTTGATTTTGAGAGACTTCGCTCGCGCAGTGAGAAAGAGAGAGTTTTTTTAACCATTTTTAAGAGCGGAGAAGGAAAGCGAAGCGAGGGAGAGAGAAAGACAGTGATCTCCGGGTGGGTTAATTGACCATTTTACCCTCTACTTGCTCGCGGAATTTCCAATTAGGGAAAGCCACGCGCTCTCTGACAAAGCACGCGCCTAGTACATTTGCTTTCCAACCTGGCTACGCATGAGGGACACGTGGACGAAGAGACATGGCGAGTGTTGGAGTTTAACGGTACTCGCAGCAGTGTTGGAGGTTTTGTAGGGTTGCGCCGTTAAGGATGGTGGACGATCTATTTCTATGCTCCTTTTTTTTTTAACAGTTTTCGTTAAGTTTCAGGAATAAATAAAGGACAGTGTCGTTAAGTTCACAGTGAAAAAGTGGCAGCGGTAAATTAGGGATAGATTTGTTACTCTTTTAACCTGTAGCCTAAATTCGCTTTGTACTCTCTCGTCTTACAATTTCTTTCTTATTGAAAAATAGAAAACCAAATTATCTTGCAATTTATTCTTCTGTACTGTTTTCAAAACATTTCTATAAATGTTCTTGTCAAAAATGTCGGTATCTTCTGATGGTTTGGTATAGAAATTGTTTCCATGTCAATAGTAATAAATTCTTTTTTTTTCTTATAAACATCGTTTTTATGTGGTTGAATATGTCGTTTAAACACCAAAAACGGTTATGTCTATTGTCTAAATGACTATTACCAAACATAAACGCTTTAAACACCATAGCATTACGAAAAAAAGGGAGAAGCGTAAATACCATCTAGACGACCAACCAATCAAGTTCATACATAGTTTTCTAATAACCGTATAAGCATTAATTAGTTATTCCCATATTTGCCGTTCAACAAAAAAAAGTTATTCCCATATTTAAATTTGTTTAATTCTATAAGTTTCACGTAAATTTGATTGTGGCTCAGTGTACTTCTAAATTAATCATTTATCTCGATTAATATGGAAAATTTTAAACTACAATCTCTTGACTATGTAGTCTATGCTGTAGCAACTGCTAAGTTTTTTTTTTTGGGCTTAATTCAGAACCCACGTATCATGGCAAGCTATTCTTCATTTTAGTCCCCCACCTGTTGAATAGTTTAGTCAGTTGCGAATGGAAAGAGACATCCTAATCAAGTAAGTATTTTATTTTAGTTTAGGAAATGATTTTTTCGAACCCAGTTTTAAAAATTTCATTCAATTTATTAAACTTTTGAAACAAAAGGGTGATAACACCAAGAGCATAAAGATAAAATTGTATGTACAGTTTTACATTTCTTGAATGACTAAGAAATATTTCACAAGCATTTTGGGTATTACATGAATCATTTTTAAAAAGTTGAGCTATTTAGTCGTTTTCTCTTTTATTGTTATGATTCTAATAAATTATGTATACACAGAGAATAATTGATAAATTTATTTATTTCACCATTGGATATATATATATATAGATATAAAAAGAAGTTAGATTTTGTTATTGGAGTATTGTGTTTCTTCAAGAGAAAGGAACAAAAAAGAGGTCTTAAGAGAGGGTTCCTTCTTTATCCGACAGAGAGAACAACCATTTGTGTGTGTTTTCATTGGCCAATAGCGTAAAGATGGCAACTCTTCTCTTCCTTACATATGTTTCTATTAAAAAAAGGTAATTTCTTAACAAATAACACTTTCGTTCTGTAATGTCAAATGATTGAACACACTCCACACATCGACATGCTTCGGGCTGCGAATATATGTTAGCTTCTTATATAATCCAATATATAATATATAGTAGAGTTTTCACTTATTAGAGCTCCCATGTCAGCATTAAAACAACGAGCCTCACCAAAAAAAAAAAAAAATCATTTCAAAACGAATAATTTTGTTTGTAGTATCTTTTGATTAGTTTTGCAATATATGCATACCCGCTATTTTATAGATAACAAAATGGTTACGTTTTATTGATCTCTTTTTAAACGTGGACGACTTAAAAACGATTCTTGTTTTGATCGGTGTTGGAGATTTCTTCTTCTTTTATAATCTTATCGTTTGTTTGATTTTTTTTTTCGTAGTTTTGAAATTTTGAACCTTAAGTGCGGAAACTGAATGAGCTAGCTAGTGTTATTGTTGTCAATAGTCAATTAATAGTAGGGGATCCAACATCAATCCTGATTTTTTTTTTCTTTTGCAGGAAGAATAATTAAACCATGAATGTTCATGTCTATATTGTATTTACTGAATCTATTTAATATCTCATGCATGCAGTTGTCATTAAGGTTTTGATCTTCCCCCGAACAAAATAATTAACAAAACAACCTCCAGAAAAAAAAATTACGTGGGAACTAATTTTTAACATATGTCTCTATCTCATCCCCATGTGATGAGAAATTTGTAGTCTTTAAGGTTAAACGGGCTAATATTCTCTTTGATTAATTAATTGCTTTTTTTAATTAGTGCTTGATTTTGATAGTTGTATCATTTTGTTTATTACTACGAATCCGAAGCTTGCATCCAGGCTAGCACCCCACCTCGGCCCTAACTACATCTGAACCGGTATGATGGCACAACCGGTTGTGTCTTAAACCGGTCCCAACCATTTATGGAATATACTGTTCATGTGTATATACTTATGAAGTAAAGGATAACCAATATTGACTGATGGAAGTTCAATATTTGTATGATTGTTTAAGAAACAAAACAGATGTTGTAGTGTTTATACTATTTGTATTCGTCTTCGACATGTGGTAGCATAGTTTTTGTAGAGCAAGTGAGCAATTGAATCGACCCCCTCTAGTCTTATGCTATATATAATTCGGACTACCCAAAATTATGGCTAAAACAAAAAGCTTCAGAAGGTTAATCAGCAATAAATAAGTAGTAATCTGAAGCTAGTTAACGTGATAATTAATTAACGTTTGAAGCGTGAGAAATAGAAGGACAAACAGCACGTGAATGTCTTTGAAATTCGTTTGGAATGGTCAAAAGAGCAAAGACGAGAGAAAAAAAACGCATACGCGTTAACTTTTTCAGTGTGATAGTGGTTACAGCTAAGGTAGGACTAGTTTAAAAGTAAAAAATTTCTGGGTCAATGGAAAATTTTAAATTGTCTCAAAATGAGTAATGACGCATTTGTGTACTAAAAATTCGATGTGTAGGGACATTAGTCCCACGTGTACCTATGTAGTACTACTACTAATATTGGTTGTTCTTAAAGACGAAGTGATAATCCTTGTAATTAAGGAATCAACCTTTAATTTGTTTGCTTAATTCATTTTACATTTTATTACCATTAGTTAAAAAAATTTAACTGTATACTTTTTTCTTACTACCAACTTTTACCATTCTTTACGCAAATAAGCCAATTTCTTTATTCGCCTCTTTCAGAGAGATTATCTCCAATTCCAAATATTTTCTACTTGAATGTATAAAAAAAACGCAACAACTAGATAACACTATTTGCAATAAATTTATCTTTGCCTTATTCTCTAATATTACAATAGATTTTTCTTTGTCTTCTTCTCTAATTAATATCATTCCTCAACGAGAAGTTCCGACCAGCTTGAGTCAAGTATGATCTCCACTACTACGACATTAGAATTTATCAATTAGGGTTTATCAATTAGGGTTTATCAACTACTATCTCAAAAAATTATAATTATTTAGTATCTATATTACATTTTCTTTTAAATTATTCTTTTTATCAATGAAAAAATAAAACTATTTTCAAAATTAGTGCACAAACAAATATTATTTTTTCTTACTTCTAATTTTTAAATTTCTGAATGAGCTTTGATTTTACTTCTTATTTTTCAATCTCTGAATGAACTTTGATTTTACTAAAAAAAATTATGATACGGTGAACACAATCACTGATGGTTTCTTTTAAAATTTTTAGCACAAAACATTTTAGTTCCCATTTCATCAACACTTTCATGATTCCGTGAAAATCACCGTTTAAAGATATGATCAAAACATTCACTAAGTGTTTCTCCATCTTCCTAATAACATTGATTCCACCATATCCACTTTAGCAATATCTGTTGAAAACTCATAGATGAATATGTCTCGTATCATCTCAGTTCATGGCCGCAACGTTCATAAGTCATAACTTTTCGGTTACATCTTGGTTCTTCATAACCAACAACATTCATTCACAGCAATAATTTTTGGCTTTGCTTGCCACAATTTTCAAAATTTTCACAGTATAACTACTTTTGGAGACAAAATAACCACATATATATACATAGAGAGAGAAAATCTTCAAAACTTACTATGAGAAATGAAACTAAGAAGCATTCAAAACCCCTAATTAACCAACTATAAGACAAGTGCATGCATGCAAACGCATGTTATTGTTATTATAAAAGTGCTCAGTTAAGGAAACAAAATTGAATTAAGGGCACTTGGGTTTGCCCTTAGAGCTAAGCATGTCTCGATAGCAAGGGCACTGATGCTTGTTGCCAAAGGTACCAGAAGGAACACACTTGCATTCTCTGCAACAAATGCCACAATACTTGATACATCTGTCTTGAAACCCTGCCTTTGCACACCTTTCTCTGCATCTACTACCACAATATGCCTCCAGGCCTCCTACTCTTCCTTAATTTGTTACATTTCAACATTAATATCAGACTTACAATTAAGAAATCCCATGTATAAAGGCCTTTAATTAAAATGATCTAACATCCCGTTACCTTAAACGCATGCAATGTAAATGAAATCACATGCTTTCAACTCAAAACTATACCGTTCTTATATAATTAAGTGTTGATCCCTTCTTTTCTCACTTCAGACTTCGGAGGTGACATATATTCTTAACAATATTGATCTAGTTTCAGCCATAAGACCAATGTACGGTGATTCCTTGTGTTGATTTTACCTTGAATTGCACTAATACTAAGAGGGAATATATATATGTAATATGTTGTATAGCTAACTTGATATTTCCCTGTAAGTGATGAACTTCTAAGGGTTTCTTTTTGTGTAATTAAATCATATATAAAAAAAAAACTTGGTTACTTTCTAAAAGGACTAGTAATTCTGATTAACACTAACTTAAAACATATATATGCATGTCTATATACATAGAGAGAGGTCGAGAGATGCATGCGTACATACCATTAGCAGCTATGGCAGGGAAAAGCATGAAGGGAAGGATGAGAAGAGAAAGGAGGAAGAAGAAAGTAACAGATTTCTTATAATTCATAGTTGCTTCTCCAATCTAAAACCTTGTATCTTTAGTTGTTGTATTAAGAGAAATTCTTGAAGATCCTTTTTTTTTGGTCTTGGTGGTACTTCTTAAAGATTGAGAAAATCATCATGATATTCATTTATATAAAACCTAAAATTTATCGCCGCCTTAATTTCTCTGCCGAAATAAAATCTACTCTCTCTGTTTTATAATAGTTGATTTTCGAAGTTTTTTTTCTTGTTTTACAATATTTGATTTCTTATGTGTAATTAATACATGTTTGTTTGTAGTTAATGCATGTTTCCATTCTTTAATGGTGGAAAAGAGAAAGTAATATTAATAAAAATAAGAAATTAATTATAAAAGTAAATTAATCATTAAAATAAAACAGAAAATAATTGAGTATTTATTGCTTTTTAATCTATGTACAGTGTTTCAGAAAATCAACTATTATCAAACAGAGAAAGTATTTGATTATGCGAATTGTGTAGACGTGGTAAATCAAATTGTTTCGTCATTTGTGACTGTGTGTGATTCTTGAAATGGCTGCAATCTTCATACGTCGATATGCTCGATGATGACTCTACTCTTATTAATTTCGTCCTACCGCTTTCAACAACACGACACATAGCTTCATAACAGGCCATAAGCGTTAGAATCGTGACATCTATATCCCTCATCTATATATATATATATATAGATATATTACTTTCTTGAAATCGAGTTTTCTTCGCTAAAAATAAGCAACTATCGTCTAAATGTTATAGTGCAAACATAAATAGTAGGGTTCTAGTATAACACTTTTAGTTAGTGTCAACGAAGCATTATATTTGTATTGTTAATGTCATCTAAATCAAGAAGATAATTTTAAGGATATCAGGTTAGTAGTCTAGTCTACTGTTCTGATCCACTATAGTCTAAACTAAATTAATATACTGATCGATCCAAAAATCCGCGAAAACAAGAAAGAAAAACAATACAATTGTCTACCATGTTTTACACGATATTATTGATCACATCCGTTAGAGAGAAATCTATCGAGCATATCGACCACTGGTGCTACATTGTACCACGAGATGGATTGAAATGGGCCTAAGACCCATTAACAATATAATTCAAAATGAGGCCCAAACAAGACTAAACTCACACCGTTTCTTCTCGTCCCCTTTTTCGGGGGGCAAAGGGCTTCGCTACTCGTCTTTCTTCTTCCTCTCACCCACTCAACCTCCGAGTTTCTTCTGTTTCGCGGTTATTGAAATCCCGTGGAAAATTTCGCGGGCGAGGGAAAAAGGTTTGGCCTTTCGTTTTTGTTTTTGTCGTTGTGGAAAAAAAGAAATCTAGAAATAATAATGATATGAAGATTTGCTTTCACCAGCTTAGCTTTAATATCCTTGGATTTTTATTGCTTTTGGGTTTCTATGGACTGCCCCAATCTCACATCGTTTTAGCTAGATTCGTTTTCTTCTTCTTCTTTTCTTTTCCCCATAAATGATATTTTCTCAAAAACCAAATCAAAGGAATGGATCTGTTTGTGTCTTTTTAAGTCTTGTTTAGGAGCTACACATAGCCAATCCCAGAAAAAAAACCATTTTTCTTTGTGGGTTATTGATTCTGATCTATGAGATTTGAGCCACGATTCTGATATACGTGTTTTGCATCTCTGTTTTGTTCAGTGAATAAGTTGGAGACAGGTTTAGGAATCTCATCGAGTATATTTAACCTTGCGGATTTAGAGACGCCCTGAGTAAAATATATAGCTTGGTGAAGAAAATGCAAAGAGCTACTAGACGGAGAACAAGGAGTAATGGAGGAGGAGAGGTTACTCCAACTGTTGACAAGGTATCTGAACAAAGCAATGCCTGTGTGGATACGCAAAATGATGGACATTCGCATCGTGGAGTGATGGAAAATGGAAAGGGAAGGATATCCAATGGGGTTTCTGGTGAAGAACAGAAATCAACCCCTGAAACTGGAAAGAAGAGAGCTAATAACAAATCTTCAGGATCGCATCGTGAACTTGTCCTTGGTCTACCTTGCCGTGGACAATTTGAAATTTATCGGTCCAAGAAGTCAGCCACGAGTTCGAAGAAGCTAGGAGGAGGTGGTAAAAGGAATGTGGTGTTTTCAAGTCGCAGTAAAGCTCAGAGATCTAAAGAAGCTACTGCTTCATCTTCGGTAGGTGCTAATTCCACACCTGTAGATGGACCAAAGAAGAGGAAGAAGTATAAGAAGAAGGGAAAAGTTAGAGAAGATGATGAGTACACAAGAATCAAAAAGAAACTTCGGTACTTGCTAAACCGGATTAACTACGAGCAAAGCCTAATTGACGCCTACTCTTTAGAAGGCTGGAAAGGTTCAAGGTTTGTCTCTTGATGGCATTTGTTTCGTTTTTGTTTCCTTCACTCATGCATTATTCTAGGTATCCTGTGTGAGATTTCATTGTGATTTCACTCAGTATTGTGTGTTCTTTGTAGCCTGGAAAAGCTAAGGCCAGAGAAAGAGCTTGAACGAGCCACGAAAGAAATTCTGCGACGCAAGGTGAAAATTAGAGATCTTTTTCATCACTTGGACACACTCTGTGCCGAAGGAAGCCTTCCAGAGTCTTTGTTTGATTCTGAAGGAAAGATTTGTAGTGAGGATGTAAGTGACAAATTATTCAACAATTCAAGCTTTTGTTCCCCTGTTTTTTTCTGATAGAAGTAGTTTTTGGCTCTAAAAGTATTGTTAATACGAGCAGTTTTGTTTAATCGCAGATCTTCTGTGCAAAATGTGGTTCGAAGGACTTGTCTCTTGATAATGATATCATACTATGCGATGGGTTTTGTGACCGAGGCTTTCACCAACTCTGTGTTGAACCACCTTTGCGAAAAGAAGATAGTAATAACTTCTCGCCTATGTACTTGGTAGTGTTTTAAGCTGTTCTTGCTGGTATTTTCTATATGAACTATTTGTTGGTTTTAATTTTTGTAGTTCCTCCGGATGATGAGAGTTGGTTATGTCCCGGTTGTGATTGCAAAGATGACAGTTTGGAATTGCTTAATGATTCTCTAGGGACAAAACTTTCGGTCAGCGACAGCTGGGAGGTATACATGTCGATGATTTTTACTGTTCAAAAGGACAAGAAACTTTAAAAGGCACCTGACTCTACTCTTTGTGCAGAAAGTATTTCCTGAGGCAGCAGCAGCAATGGCTGGTGGAGATCAAAATCTGCACTGTGATCTTCCTTCAGATGATTCTGATGATGAGGAGTATGATCCGGATGGTTTGAATGATAATGAAGATGATGAAGATGGCAGTGATGACAGTGATGATTCTGGGAACGAAGATGGAAGTTCTGATGAATCTGATTTCACATCTGCATCTGACGAAATGGTTGGATCATTTAAAGATGTGAAAGATATAATGAACCTTCCGTCTGATGATTCTGAGGATGATGACTATGATCCTGATGCCACGACTCGTGATGAAGATAAAACACAAGAAAGTTCAAATTCAGATTGTACATCGGACTCTGAGGCTCCTGAAACTTCCTTAAAAGACGACGAGTCTAATCAGCAAGATGAAGTTACACTCGCTAATGAAGCCATTTCAGAGTCAGATGCTGGGATTGATGATGGTCTTGTAGATGTTCCCGCGAGGAGGAAAGTTGAAAGGCTGGACTACAAAAAGTTGTATGATGTGGGTTTTCTCTCACATTTTTGATAGTTAAATCTTCTTGTTGGTTTTGAATAAAAAAACAATGTTGATATCTATCTTCCATCGCGTGGTATGCGCAGGAGGAATATGAGAATGTTGCGTCTTCATCGAGTGATGATGAAGATTGGGATAAAACCGCGGGAAAAGAAGATTCCGAGTCCGCAGATGAAGAAGACACTGTTCCTCTGAAACAGTCTTCAGAAGCAGAAGATCATACTTCTACTAAGAAACCTAGACAGAAATCGAAAAGAGAGAATACTAAGGATACATTGAAAGCGCCACAAGAAGCACCCGGAGAAAATGGTTGTTCTGGTGAAAAAAGCAGCTCTTCAGCATGTAAACAGACAAATCCCAGAAATCAGGTAAAAAATATACTTGTCTTTACACTTAAAGGTGTCAAATCCTAAATCATCATTATGAGAGAGCTTTTGGCTTAAAGATTTCTCTTTTGCACAGAGATTATTCGAATCTTTTCAAGAGAATCGATATCCAGACAAAACCACGAGGGAGAGCTTAGCCGAAGAGCTACAAATGACATTTAATCAAGTAAGAAGTTATCTCTTAGTGTAGTGTTCTCACTTTTTAGTTGACCCGATTTCATCTCTGCTCATAAGGTGTTTATGTTCTGTAGGTTAGTAATTGGTTTAGGAATAGACGTTCTTCAACAAGCAAAATGATGGTTTCAAAGGAAGATGTCGAAAAGTCAAGAACAGGCAAGGAAGGTGAAGGTGAGACGTCTGTTGCTGGAAGTAGCGAACAAACCTTGGAAACCGAGTCAGTCGCAAAGAATAAGAGTAAAGCATCGGAATCAACCAATACTGGATCACGAAAAAGAAGGAGAAGGTAGATTTTGAGATTCAATAATGAAGGTTTTAGGACGACATAACTGAATATAGTTGAACACACAAACTCGACAAAACCCCAAGAGATGAAGAGATCAAACCCACGCATTTGTTTTGTTTGTTTGTTACTTGTTACACATTTTTGGGATGTAGTTTTGGTTCTGAAGACCTTGAAGTTATAGCATTGGAAGAATCAGTGATGCTAAAGTGAAAAGTTGAGGCAAAAGAAAAGAATTTGTTCAAAAAAATTGGAGCATAGGTCTAAAGGTTAAGTTGAGACTTGTTATGACTTATGATTATGAAAGGTTGTTAACTTTGACGCAGCTATTTTTTGGTTGTGGTTTGTTTAATAGATAGAGATGGTCTAGTTTAACCAGTTTGAAATGATGAATTGAAGAAGTTAAATCAGCTGAAATGTTTTAATTAACACAGGCCCATAATGATATTACAATAGGCCCATAACAAGCCCATCGATGTTTATGATACATAGTAAAAGTCCGGGACTTGGTAACGTGTTGCAAAAGGTAGAGGAAAATGAAGAAGGTGCTGAAAATATACGGCGGCATTTTAAGGCTGGTGAGGCTTTTGCCGGCGGACACAAGGCCGTATTACGCCAAGTACGCCAGGGAGAATTTCGTTAATTACCGTGAAGTTGATCAAAGCGAAACATCTCTCGACGAACTCTTCCAACGAGCTTACAATCACTCACTCTGGGTACTCAAGAAGGTACGAAGATTCTTGTTGTTCCTGTCCTTTTGAATCGTAAATTCTGGGTACCCTTTATGCTAAATGTTAGTTTTTAATCGTTTGCATTCGATTGACGAATCTGCGGCTAAGAAGTTGAAAGAGACTTGTTTTTAATGATAACGCACACTAAGTGTTCGACGTTTTGTCCCTGAGAATTTCGAACAAGTACTTTTTTCAAGGCTTCGTCGATTTTGTTAAATGGGTACCATCAGTTTTCTACTTTTGATCTCAGTGTCTTCTAATTTCCTAGCTATATCAAGAACTGAGGTTGCTCATGTGTCTTTTTCTTTCCTTTTTGTTCTCTTGACTTTCTGGTGCTGCAGGCATTTGTTGAATGCTCAATTGGTCATGTCTGGTTTGAGTAGCTTCTTGTTTGCTTGCATAATCCTGAATAAATTGTTATGAATTTCCATTATAATCTTTTGTTTTGTAAGGTAGTTAACACGTAAACCTTCATATATAAAAGTCTTGGAAGAAAAACTTATCACAGCAAAATAGCAGTGGCAGTGAAGTAATAAACGAATAAAAGTAGGGATTGTTTGGGTAAGTGAATATATGTAGCTAAGGGACAATTACACAGTAACGATTATTAAGTCTACACCTACGACTTTATAGGTCCTTCCTTGTCGGAACTCGAAAATGTTACATGAAACGAACCTAACCAAACCAAAGTGTATGCTACGATTGTTTTTGCTTCTAAAGAATTTAAAAGGCTAAAAAACAAGTTAGGACTGGTTAATTTCTATGGAAAATTGACCTCATCCCTGTAGATTTTTTTTTCCTATGAATGTATTTAGTTGTCGCCAACTGGTGGAGTAGTGTTGTTCTTCTTGCACACGTGTTTGCAGTCTTTGCACGTGTCAAACCTGGTACATGTCAGTCTGTTAAAATGCCTTGCGTTTTTTGTTTGTTTAATATAGTATCTGTAGTTTTGTGTGAAACCACTGTGTCAGTATGTTAAATAACTTAATGATAAACATGATAATGGTAATTTCATTTATTTGTATCGTTTTGGTATGTGTTTATTGAATGATGGATATGTAGATGTGTGTGTGACATTAATTATTTGTCTAACTTCCAGAAAGAAAGAAAAAAAGAAAAGAGAAAGCAGCAGTTACTAAGAAACGAAACATCAGCTTCGAGTAAATCAAAACTACAGTTTTCTCGGGCCAGGTGGCTTTGACCGAACTTCTCTTCAAATTTCTAAATTCCTTTTATACCCCTCACGTTACAAGTAGTATAATCAACACTAACATCATCATCAAGTTAACTCTAAATTATACGGCAAAAATAGTCGATAGATTGTTATCTAATAGACTAACAGCAACTCTAAACGATTATTTAGGCAGCTTAAAGTAGCAAAAAGAGAAGAAAATAAACTTAGTATCTTAAAGTCGATCAAATTGAAAAGGGTCTGTGTTAGAATTCACTGGTTTATTCTACATATGAACTAATATATTTATTTAAAAATGTCATTGTATTGTACTTTGAAAAACACTATAAACAAATTTATTTACATTACATCAGCCAACAGGGAAGTTAACCAATTATAAAAGCCTAAAGATGTAAAGTGAAAACAATTTCTCAACAGTTTTCTTCTGGTTTCTGTTTCTCACCTTCTCTCATTCTCTTTCTCAGCCTTCTTCCACGAACGTAGTAAATACTAAACAAGAAAAATTGCGATGGGAGATACCGCAGAGGATCAAGAGGACCAAGCTATGGCGGAAGCTGCCGGAGTCGCGAGCTTCTCGGAGCTTCTTATGTTGTCGGACGATGTACTCGGCTCCTCTGACCACCACCGACAGGATAACGGCGGCGATGGTGGACAAGACAGCTTCGGTTTTGTATTCTCCGGTAGAAATAGATCAAGAATGCTCTGTTTCAGCGGAGGATATCAAAACGACGACGAATCGCTCTGTTTAGAACCTTCTGTCCCATCCGGAGTCTCTGTTCCTGACCCTTCTTCATGCATTAATAGCAATTGCAAGAACTCAAACGACGCTTGTACAGTAGATAAATCTTCAAAATCATCCAACGTAAGTTTCTCATTTCTGTTTTTTTTTTCCAAAGTTACTATGAAGAAGAAAATGGTCTTGCATAGTTGCATGCAAAGAACTACAATTTTTCTTCTTCTTCTTCTAGTTGTTATATCATATAGAAATTATTAAAGATGATTGACTGTGTTGTGAAGAAGAAGAGAACTGGGTCGGGTAATGGGCAAAACCCGGATCATGATCGAAAACCTGGCAAGAGATGCAAGCGAAATCAGGACAATTCATCAGTTGGAATTGCAAAGGTGTGTCTATTAAAAAATTACAATTTTCTGAACATTCAAAATTTACATTTCTTTATCCTCATTATGTCATAAACTTTTTTCTTTCTCAACAGTGATATGTGTTGTTGATATTAATTAATAATTAAAAATAGGTGAGGAAAGAAAGATTAGGGGAAAGAATCACAGCGTTGCAGCAATTGGTTTCTCCATACGGCAAGGTATTTTTTAGTTTCACACTCTATTATACTAGTAAATTTTCCATCATGTGTTCTTCAGTTATTTCCTTCTAATTCTATCACCAAACTCAAAGAGAATCATTATTTATTTATTTATTATTTTGGTTTTGGAGCATTTATAATTTATATTTAGTTTTTCCAAAAGGGAAGCTTAAGAAGTCGCGATTTGGGACAGTGTAGCATGAATTGGCATCCAATGTGGAAATCAAAAAAGACATCAAAGACAATGAAACTTGATCATAAATTAAAAGTATATGATATATCTGTTTGTTCTTTATTTTGATTGTGGTTGTTAATTAACGACGTCATTACGGTTTTTTTACATTAATGATGTGTGTACCTTTTTTTGAGAGGGGTGAAAAGAGAATATTACACTCTCTACCCAAATAAATATCCATAAATGAGAGACCAAAGTTAAAATTGACTTTTCTGACTGATAAAAATACAAACTTGACAGACAGATGCAGCTTCTGTGCTGCATGAAGCGATGGGTTACATCAAATTCTTACAAGATCAGATTCAAGTCCTCTGCTCACCTTATCTCATCAACTATTCTCTTGTAAGTCTCTCTCTCTTTATCTCTCTTTAAAAAAAAAGATAACTAAAGGATATTTCTGACTTGCCGGTGACATTTGTCAGGACGGTGGTGGAGTCGTTACCGGAGATATTATGCCGGGGAAGAAAGTGAAAGACTTGAGAAGCAGAGGATTATGTCTAGTACCTGTCTCATCCACCGTACACGTGGAAAACTCCAACGGCGCTGATTTCTGGTCACCTGCTACTATGGGTCACACTACGTCACCCTCAATGAATCTTGAATGATTATTAATTAGCCATCCTAGGCAGATATAATTAATTATATAGTCTTTTTTTGTTAATGTTGCTGAAGAACAAGTAAAAATGCTTTACTTCACCCAATTTTTTTTTTGGGGATCATATGGGTGATATAAAAAGGTTGAATCTTTGATCTTTAAAACATTAGATATTTAGTTTTCGAGTGTTTTATTTTCTCAATGTTTCTGCGGCATCTCAGTCGCGTCGATAAGTGGAACTGAGAGGCCAAGATTTCCACACAGTCACACACCTAAATTGTAGTAATGCTACCAAACCACATCACTCACTTGAGTTGGGACGTGCAAAACGTTTTTTTTTTTTTTACTTCTATTTTTCTCAAAGCCATAGTGAAAAGAATCATTGGAATTGGAGTGTGACTGTGTAAAATCTGAGATCACGAAGATTGAAAATGTATTTAAATTTTAATTATATAACTTTTTTGCCAATGTGTTAGTAACACTATTAACACTTACAGTATTTTATCTAAAACTCCTTTGTTTATTTTATTTTTCATAGCAAAACTGTTCACATTTTTAATTACTTCCCTTTATGAATAAGAGGATTAGATTAGACTGGAAAATGACCAGAATAGTATTGCAAATCAAACACTTCAATTGCCAACCAATACTTCACCGGAGAGCCGGAAATCTTCGTTCGCTTTCTCACTCTCTCTCTCTCTTCCTCTCCATCTCCACTACCTCTTCTCTCTCTCTCTCTCTCCGGTGATCGCCGATGGCGGTGTTTCCTATCGGCTCTCACTTTGCGCCACCGCATCAGTTGACGAAGAGGCACGCCGTCTCGACTTCATCCCCTATCTCCCTCTCGACCCGTTTGCAGCAAAATGTCTCCTTTTCGAAAGTATCTGCAATCACAAGCTCGAGGTTGTCCAGACATGGTGTTCTCGCGAGGGCCGAGGATAAGATAAGGGGCTCTTCTTCTTCTCCTTCTTCTCTCGAAGAACCATCTCAACCTATCGATAAGGCACAGCTCGAGGTTTTGATTTCTCCTTCGTTGTTGTCGTCTTTTCTTCAAAAATTCAATTTTGCAAAGTACCCATCTCCTTTTTTTCGATTCAATTTAGTTTTAAGAATAGTCGAATTGAGTGACTTTTGCATCTCATCAACGATTCTTATAGAATTTAAAATTGGCATTTGGTTTCTAGAGCAAGTCCATTCAGATGTTATAAACTTCTTTTTACTAGCTCAAATGTAAAGTTTTTGTATGTTGGTAATTGCATTTTCAAAAAGGAATTTTGATGATCCACAGGATTTGATGGATGAATCAGGATCATGTGATCCTATATGCTCGGTCGATGAACCTAGTTCGAGTTACTTTGAAGCGAATTACCAGCCAAAGACAGATGTAGTCAAAACTATTGCTGTTCTTGCAGCAGCTCTTACAGGAACAGCTGCCATTAATCACTCATGGGTCGCTGCTAATCAGGTTCTTGCACGCCCATTCCTCATTCTTTGTGTTCTTTTGGTTTCAGACTCAAAATGCTCATCTCTGGGAAATGTCATGATACAGGATGTTGCTATGGCATTGTTGTTTGTAATAGGATACGCCGGAATCATCTTCGAAGAGTCCTTAGCTTTTAATAAAAGTGGAATTGGACTTTTGATGGCTGTGAGTTTGTGGGTTGTGAGGAGCATAGGGGTAAGAAGTTTACATGAACTGTTGTCTATCCGAGTCTTAACTTTATGATTTTCTTGATTATATATATATTCCTTGTACAGGCTCCTTCAACTGAAATAGCTGTTTCAGAGCTTCAACATGCAACAGCTGAAGTAAGTGAAATTGTATTCTTCTTGCTCGGCGCAATGACCATTGTGGAGATAGTTGATGCCCACCAAGGGTTTAAGCTGGTTACTGACAATATCACCACTCGGAAGCCAAAGACGCTTTTATGGGTGGTAGGTGATTCATCTTTAGCGTTAACGTTATTCGCTTTAGTCTCTTCCTCTTCAAGAGCATGAGTTTCGTTTTTACTGTTGGGCGTCATCCTTACTCTTGACTTATGATGTTGCAGGTCGGCTTTGTGACTTTTTTCCTTAGTGCGATTCTAGACAATCTGACCTCTACTATTGTCATGGTTTCATTACTGAGGAAACTGGTTCCTCAATCAGAATACCGCAAGTATGGAAACTTTTTTCTTTTTGCTCTTATTAGTTAGTTTCTTGGTTAAGCTGTTCACAGTGAGAGACAAGTTAGCTTTGTAGTCTTGTAGATAATGGACCCTAAGATTCTGAAGGAAACATAATGGTTTTATGTCGTTTTACCCGTCACTGTAATACTATGTTTTGTGTTTAGTATTGTTATCACATTAACGTTAGGTTGCACGCTCAATAACCAATGGCAGACTTCTCGGAGCTGTTGTGGTAATAGCAGCAAATGCAGGAGGAGCATGGACTCCAATTGGTGATGTTACTACAACTATGCTATGGATTCATGGTCAGATATCCACCTTGCCGACTATGCTGGTTCACCTTCTTCTGAGATAGTCCTTTTTTTTTTTGTCATAAGTGGAAGTATCGAAGGAACAACGAACGTTTATGGAGGTTTTTCTGCTTTTCTTTCAGGGCCTTTTTCTACCTTCGGCCGTTTCTCTTGCTGTTCCACTAGCCCTCTTATCCTTGACCAGGTTATAAATTCTTCTTGCACTCTCAGACGGATAGGGAGACTATGTTTGGCTTCTATCGTCATGTAAAATGTTTACACTGCAGAGGCTGATTGATGTAAGTTTTTTTAATCTTCCTCAGTGAGGTAAATGGAAAGGGACAGGATTCTTCAGATGTATTGGCTTCTGAAAAGATGGCTCCAAGAGGGCAGCTAGTTTTTGGAGTTGGCCTTGGAGCATTGGTTTTTGTTCCGGTCTTTAAGGCTCTAACTGGATTGCCTCCTTACATGGGTATATTGTTGGGTCTTGGAGTTCTTTGGGTCTTGACAGATGCCATTCATTACGGTGAATCAGAAAGACAAAAGCTCAAAGTACCTCAGGCCTTATCCCGAATCGACACACAAGGCGCTCTGTTTTTCCTTGGGATTCTTTTATCCGTTAGCAGGTATCCAATCAACTGATCATCATCTTCAAACTCTAACCTTCCCATTACTCTCGTGAATTACAAATCTTTTGTGATGTTCTTTTTTTCAGCCTTGAGGCAGCTGGGATCCTCCGGGAGATTGCAAACTACCTTGATGCTAACATACCCAATGTTGAGCTAGTGGCAAGTGCAATCGGTGTTGTATCAGCAATCATAGACAATGTTCCATTGGTTGCAGCGACTATGGGGATGTACGATCTCACATCGTTTCCTCAAGATTCCGAATTTTGGCAGCTCGTTGCGTTCTGTGCAGGCACTGGTGGTTCAATGCTTATCATCGGATCTGCTGCTGGTGTAGCTTTCATGGGGATGGAGAAAGTCGACTTCTTTTGGTACTTTCGTAAGGTTAGACACATTCTTTCCGCTTGTCTAAAGGCTCAACTACACAACATACCATTAACCAGACCAAAACTCAATACTCTAGAGACTCTGACCAAGGCTTTTGTTTGTCCATGCAGGTTAGTGGTTTTGCGTTTGCTGGTTATGCTGCTGGTATCGCGGCTTATCTGGCAGTTCATAATCTTAATTTGTCGATCCCAACAACGGTGGCTCAGATCCCATTTATCACTGGTTCGTAAGCCGCATCAATCTCTATGTTTATCTTCTCTGTGAACAAATAGGACAGAGGCAAAATCATTGGCTGGCTGCATGATAACACATAACTTCGTCGACATGCTGCTTTTGAAAAAATAAGCAACTATGTAATTTGTTTCATATACACTCAATTGTATCATTCATTAGTACAGAATGAATCATCCAATAAGATTATATATCCATGTCGAGTTCTTATGTGCATCTATGGAAAGTATATGACTATAGTTTAAGAAAAACAAACTCTTCAATGGCAGAAATGTCTCCGATTTTCTTCAAAGTTTCTTTACTTGGTTGTTCATCTACTCCTATTGCCATCACCGCTTGCTTTCCCTGAGCAATTCGACCGACGCTCATGAAGCTCACATTCACGTTTTCATCTCCTAAGATGCTACCAACTTGACCAATCATCCCAGGCTGATCAACTTGCCTGCAAAGTATCACACTCCCTTCTAAACTCACATCCACTTCAAATAACCCGACTTTGGTTAGACTTGCAACCCCTTGTTTCACTCTGCCTTCTACTTTGATCTCTCCGGACGCAGATAACGCGCTGGCGAATCTTGATTCCACGTTTGCGATCCGAACAGTTATGTATTCAATTGGATTCTCGGGTGAGCCGTCAAGAACCATACGCTCTTCTGAGATTTTGACACCGCGTTGTTTAGCGACGTAATCAGAGTTAACCAGGTTTATGAATACGCTGGAAATGGGTTCAATGAGTCCCTTTATGACCATGGCACGGAGAATTCTTGTGTCGAGATCATCAGGAGATCTTGAAGACGCATACGTCACTTTCACGGCATTCACACCGCTTCCACCAGTTACCAGTTGTACAGCCAATCTCCCAAGCTTCTCAGCGAGCACAACATACGGTTTCAGCTCTCTCAATACCTGAAAACAGATAGCCATTGAGCAATGTCAGAGAACTTGCAGGACAAACCAAAGAAAGCCATCTTCAGATTCCAGGTAAAGAGGTATAAAACACTACTTGGAAGTTAGGAACATCTCATCTAAGCACAAGAAAAATGAAACTTGATCCTGGATAAAAGACTAGTGAAGTTTGAAAATACCTGTGGTGGAACCATTGGTGCATTGACCGCGGTAGCAGCAAGTTCTCCTTGCAAAGCTCCAACAACTGCTTCTGCGATTTCTATAGCCACTCCTTCCTAGACATTTAGCTAAAAAAGTTTAATTTCCTAAACCAAAACCTCAAAAAAAACTTTGAAAAGGAAGGATTCAAACAAGGTAATTGCAAAAAGTAAACCTGAGCTTCCATAGTACTGGCACCAAGATGAGGCGTGGCAATTACACTCTCATGTAACACCAATTTGTTATCTTGAACAGGCGGCTCCACTGTGAAAACATCAAGAGCTGCCTGAGCAACAACACCAGAGTCAAGCGCCCTCAAGAGAGCTTCCTCGTCAATAACTCCACCCCGAGCAACATTCACAATACGCACCCCTTTCTTCATCCTCGCGAAGGTCTCATCATTCAGCATCTTTAATGTAGCGGCAGTGAGAGGCAGATGCAGAGAGATGAAATCTGCAGTTGAAATAGCTACTTCAAAGCTAACTAGTTCCACACCAATGGCTCGTGCACGATCCGCTGGTGCATAAGGATCATGCGTAATCACATGCATCCCGAGTCCTCTTGCTCGTCTAGCAACCTCTGATCCAACTTTACCAAAACCAAGAACAGCAAGAGTCTTCCCCACAAGTGAAACACCCACAAATTTGCTTCTCATCCACTTGCCTGCACCAACCATTAAACAAACACATTTCTAAACTTCACATGGCGATTTCTCAAAAAGCTACCCAGATAAAGCTCAAATAGAACATTAAATCTAAAATTGAAGATCACATTGCAATTGAAACACGATCCGATTTGTGAGCTCTCACCAGCTTTGATAGAGGCATCAGCTTGAGCAACATTTCTAGCCATGGCGGTTAAAAGCGCGATCCCGTGCTCGGCAGCAGCCACCGTGTTCGCAGTCGGAGCATTCACAACCAAACAACCATACTCCGTCGCCGCCGCTAAATCGACGTTATCGATCCCAACCCCAGCACGTCCCACGACCTTGAGCCTGCCGCGCGAAGACTCGAACACGTCTCTCCCAACTTTCGTGCCGCTCCTGACGATCAGCGCATCACAGAGCGAGATCTTCGTGCAGAGCTCCTCGAGGCTCAGATCATACGAGCAATCAACATTAGCGAACTTTCTCAGCAGTTCAATCCCCGCCTGGCCGAGCTTCTCCGCCACGAGAATCGTCGGTTTTCCTCCTCCTCCGGCACAGGACGTTACGAGGATGATCCGCCGCCTATTAAACTCCCTTCGACGGATGGGGAAGACGGAGTGAGTAGTAGCGAGCCTCGTGGAGAGCACCGATGATAGGCTCAGAGGCGTCGCCATTCGCGCGCGGTGGCGAGAATCTGAGGGAATGTAAGTAGAGGTGTATGTATCGTCTGGCAACAGAGAGAAGATATGGCTTTGGGCGGGTTTTTTTGTGGGGTTTTAATATGTTGTGGTGGATTGCGCCAGATTCTTTGTCCTACTTTCCCATATCTTCACTGCTTGGTGGATTTTGACTCTTTCAGTTTCAGGAAAACATTACTTTATTTCAATATATTTTTTTATGTACGTATATGTATTATTAAAAATAAAATAAAAAATTATATTATTTGATCAATCAGATTAAATTAATAAAATTGCATGAAACATATAAAACTTAGTTAGATACAAATTTTGATGAACTGCTAACGCTAACAGAGAAAAGTATTTCTAATTTTCTTCAAATAGAAGAAAGAGAAGAAAAATGAAAACTTAAATGGATCACTGATTAAAAAATGAACCAAACGAATTGTGAATCACTTTGGTGCATATATTTCACAAAAATGAAGAACCAAACAAAAATTCGATTTTAATTTTGCATTAGCAACGAACTATTTTAATTAAAAACTATTTGAAGTACTTGAGAAAAAAAAGGTGCATGCGGATCACTTGATAGCAAAGTGATTCCCCATAAACTTTGTTTTGTTAACTGATTCCCCATAAAACTTGCATGTAGCGATACATATGAGTTCCACAAGGTTCAGGTATTTTCAGACGAGAGACTCTTGCTTACTACCTATTGATATTTCTTCTCTTTGTTTACTGGCATTGGAATCTTCCTTGAGATACTTCGGATGACTTTAGCAGTTGAGTTCAGTTTATCATCAATGTGGTCTTGGTATTTCTCGTAGACGATAGGAACAGAAAGACTCAGAACAATCCCTGTGAGATAAAAACAGAGACGAATGATTGAGAACAAAATTACTCAAATCAACCAACACTACAAGACATCATAACCCACAAGCAAAAGGTTAGATTGCTCACCAATGTAGACAAGAGTGAGGGAGTTGATTAAAGTCCCGATATAGGATATAGCCCACAAGACTAATGAAACCTATTTCACAGTTAAAATCCAACGAGATGTGAACCGTGTAACACATAACATGCAAAAAGCGTCCAGACTCAAACAAAAGATTAGACTAAAACCTGAAGGAGACGAATCGGATTTCTAGCAATGGTGATATCACTTGCAATTGACAGTACATGGTTGATCCAAACACGAAGATCATCAGCAAACTTTATCGCAAACTCCTCAGGGATTTCCATATTCGGAACTGGAGGTAGAGGTCTGAAACAAAAATCATTGGTAGTATACTTATGAGACACGACTCAGTTTCTCACAGCACAGTTTCAGAGTTTCAATACTCTTAAGCTTTTTTATCTTCCAAAAAGTATCTTTCAATGTGAAACAGCAACTTATAAGACAGTGACAGTAGATTTAACATACAAGAATCGACTATCAAGAAGAAAATCCAGAAATGCCGCATAAAGGTTTCATATTTTTCGTAACAAATGGAGCATAAAGAAAGAGCAGGCAATTACCGGTTAAGTACTGTAGCAGACTTGGCCCATAAGAAGAGGATAGCGACAAGGAGAAGCAGAACATTGGAGACGAAGGACAAGAGATTGTATCCAGCTCTTTCAAATAAGAACCAAAATCCAGTAGAAGAGACTAGCAAAATGACTGCACCAGTCCGGTTTCTCCATAGCAGCAAATCAGCGACTGCAAAATTGCAGTTCCAAAAACAAACCCAAAAGATTCAACACCAAAATGTGCATTAAAGGACACACAAATCACATGCTGAGAGATTCCTATTGGTCTCTAAGTTCTGTACATCAAATTGATGAAACGTAATGATAATTATGAACAATTTTAGAAATTTCCCAAAATGCGCATAACCATCGAACGAAAACCTAAAACAGAACTCGATCAATCCAGAACTACGCCAATCAACGCAAAAACCCAACAACTAAACACGTGGGAATCGATAATCTCGAAAATTATCCATTGAATCGAAAGTCGAAGAAACCCGAAATCTATAGCTAATGCAACGAAACGAAACCAAAATCGGTGGAAAAGGAAGAAGAAGATGCAATCACCTGAACCACCACCAAGAGATTGGTGAACAGAAACGCGGGTTGAAGAAGAGGAATCTCCCATGGCGAATATCAGTTAGGGTTCTTCTGCATAGAGAGTTTGAATGCAAAATGAAAAATACGAATCGATGATCTTGATTCGATAATATTGGAGAGACTGCTTTGTGAACAAAGCACTGCTTTCGATGGATTAATCGTGCCTGCTCTCTTCCTTCCTAATTCCTACATCCAAATATCAACGATTTTTTTCCTTTACGCTTCGGCGATTGTTTTTTTTTTTGGTCGATAGATTTTTGATTTTAATTATCAAATTAAAGTATTGTTCTCCTTTAACTTATTTTATTTTTTTCTCTTTTGGCTACCTTTCTAATACTAAAATTCAAGAAAGCCTAACTAATGTTGATTAGGCTCATAATTCAGTTTGTGGTTTAACAACTTTGAGTCATGAATTTTTGAATATATCTTTATCCTCTAGCCAGATAATTCGAATCATCTCGAGTATAAAGATTCATAATGGTTCCAACTAACCCCAAAAAAAACTTCACAAAATATGTTTTATATATTATAATATGCTCATATAAAATTTTTTTTCTCTCTTGTGACAAACAACCCATATAAAAAAGACAGTGACAGGAAAATCGCATTAACTGATAAAACAAAACAAAACAAAGCATTCGTTTGCTGAAACATTCAAAAAAAAAAAAAAGAGAGAGAGAGAGACAACGAACATACATTATTTAATTAGGAACCATATTACATAATTTAGTTCTTCTTTCAATTTGTGGTTGTTGCAGTCTCCTCCAAGAACTTGCTTCCAGCAACATCAACGACAAATCTGTAACGAACATCGTTCTTGTGAAGCCTCTCAAACGCAGTGTTAAGCTCATCAATCTTCACCACTTCAATGGTCGACGTAACCCCTTTCTCTTTGCAGAAAGCCAACACTTCCTCTGTCTCTTTTATGCTCCCAATAAAGCTCCCCGATATCACTTTCCTCCCTGTAATTATTCACAAATCAAATAATCATTTGCCAACCATTTAATTTTAATTAGAAATGACTTATTTAAAACAAGAAAGACTAACCAAGAATGATGAGAGGGGTAATGAACTGAAGAGGAGTGTTAATAACACCCATGAGAATCAAATTCCCGTCGAGTTTAAGACAAGCCAAGTACGGCTCGAGAGGGTGAAACACCGGTACGGTATCGATAATGTAGTCAAGAGAATCTGCGATTCTTTGCATCTCTGCTTGATCAGAGCTCACTACGTAGTCGTCGGCTCCTAAATGTTCCATCGCTTCTTCTCTTTTCTTCTCTGATGAGCTTATCACTGTCACGTGATGTCCCATTGCTTTAGCAATCTTCACACCCATGTGTCCTACTCCTCCTAACCCTAGAATCCCTCCTCTGAGTCCGGTTTTCATTAGACCGAAGTGGCTCAACGGACTGTAAACCGTTACTCCTGCGCATAGAAGCGGCGCAGCCTGCTCCACAGGCATCCCTTCTGGTATCTTTACAATAAACCTTTTTGTCCACAAAATTTTTAAAAAGGTTACTTGTGGACAAAGGAATCGATATTAATGTGTTTACTTGTGAAACAAGAAATGCTTACTTCTGATGGACGATCATAGTGTCTGCGAAGCCACCCTGGGTGGGTTTTCCGTCGGTGTAGACATCGTTGTAACTCCAGATTTTCTTGTTACAGTACTGCTCAAGATCTGAGCTGCATGGTTTGCAGTTACCGCAGCATCCGACGATAACGCCGACTCCGACCACATCTCCTACGGTGAACTTGCTCACATCTGATCCCACTTCCACCACCTTACCTACCACCTCGTGTCTGTAAATCGAACCTTCGTTTTAGTTTTTACAAAATATTTGCTCGTAGATTTTTGGTTAGTCAACAAGTCCACATTGCATAGTTTTTTTTTTTTTTTTGTCTTTTGCATGTTAATTGAAAAGATAAAACAGTGAACTGAAAAAAAAAAACAAATTAAACAGTGAATGGTGAACAAGTGTGCGGCTACAATCAAATGTCAGATTTGTAACAGTAGCCGATCCAGTATGTAATGTTTTCTGTCGGTACAATAATGTCAAGTTGTCAACTAAATACCAAAATCGAAAACAAAATTAACCTCATTCGATCGTAGCCTTAATTATTTAAATATGATATTCCTGGACATTTTCAGAAATTAGTTCGTTAATTTTCAAATGTACATCTCTTTGGAGTTATCTCTATCACGCTTTAGAAAATCACCAAGCTAGTTACGAGTCTCTTTTTTTATGCAAAAAAATTACACATAAATCTTAATATCTGAAATCATATATTCGATTGGGATATGAAATGAAGGCGATGGATAAATTCGGGATCGATTTTTGACAGATGAAAAGAAAATCGCCATGCACCGGAAACAAGTATTATATTGTAAACAAAAATGAAAACAAAATAAAAAGAGCAAAATAATAAAAAGAAGAAAAAGAGAATTGAAGAAGAGATTACCCAGGAACCATAGGGTAATTGGACATTCCAAGATCATTTTTAATCTGGTGAATATCAGTATGGCAAATTCCACAGCATATAACCTTTATATACACATCATCTGGCCCTGTGCTCCTATTAACAAATCCAATATTCAGTTTAACAAGAAAAAATAAAGAAATTCAATAACTCTTTGAGAGATAAAACCGGATAACCTATAAACAAAAAGCTAAATTTTTCTTATAAAAAGAAGAAGAGAAAAGAAACCTTAAAGTGTAGGAGTAAGGAGAGAGGACACCAGAAGGATCTCTCGCAGCCCATCCTAAAGCCTTCTTTTCTCCTCCTTCACTTCCCATTTTTCTTTTTCTTTCTTGGTTTCTTTGTATTTTTTATATATATATAAATTTGCAGAGAAAAACAGTATTGAGGGATGATGTGATTACGGAAACATGACTGTAAAGGCACTTGTTGACATATGTATATATAGTGGGGGAAATTTTTTTTTTTTTAATAAAACCAAAAAAGAGGAGCAAAATTGGGATATTATTATTATTTTTTGGTGGGAGTCTTTTTTAATCAGTAAGATCGACCAAGACCAACCAAACCTCTTATCTTTTATCTTTTTTCTTTCCGATGGTACAATCATTATTTATTATACACTATGTATATACAATTACTAAATTATAACCTAAGAGTAGGGAATAGGGATGAAAATAATCGAACTAAATGAAACTCAACCGAAGAAATCTGGTTTTCGTTTGATAAGTTATTAAAACAGAGTATATATGTTAATTCAATTTCAAACCAACCAGAAACAGTGGAAACAAACAAAAGAAATCGAAAATGCACTCGAATATAGATATAAAAAATTGTGGACCACGATAGTCGTTGAAAAGGAAACAGAGATATCAACAGCCTAATTAAAATTTCGACATGCATAGATACATATTTAAAGAAAAAAGTAAAGCTAAATGAGAAATGAGAAAGATTATAAAAAAAAAAAATGGAAATGTGAAAGAGATATGACACCATCAATTTAGGTGGATATTCTTTATTTCTTATGCAATAAAACGAAAGTATTAGTTTTTTTCTTTTCATGGCGTTGCTGGACATATGTCAACTAATTTCTAATCTCATTCAAGATAAACCTTATATTCTTCTTCTTCCTTTTACCAACAAAACCTTATATTTTTTTATCAAACAGAACATATAAAGTATTTTACAGAGTTATTTTTGTTGCTGGACTATTTTACAGATTAAAAAGAAAATAATATTATATTGGTCTGAAATTATTATTAAATCAAATCAGGATTTGCTTTTGTGAATTGAAGGGAAATTTTTTTATTTATACAAATTGACCAACTAAAAATAAAATAGAAGAAATAATGGAACAAACATATATTTTTGTATAATTGGAAAATGACGGTTTGATCAAGGATGGGGGGGGAGTAGGTAAAGTACCAAAGTGTGGTTGGTAAAAGATTCGACGCTACTCTTTTGTTCTGAAGCCTGACCAATCATTTATTGCCACGTCATCCACATACCTTTCAGACAGGATAATTCACAATTATCAAAACCTTTTTCTTAAAAAAAAAAAAACATATAAACTATTCAGTCTTTGTTTCAGTTAGGTACCGAACTACTGATATTTAATAGAATTTCGTCACTCCCTTTCGTTTTCCAGAGGTAAGAATTTAAAATTATCTAAAAACTTGTTCTCATTTTACTTAACAGTATATATCCAATTAGATTAATGATAAATTTAAATATAAATACTAAAAAATCTCTAATCCCTTATTATATCTACCACTAGACTAAAAATGTTACATGCTTCTGTGGAGTCCAACAACTGAATAGTGTGATCAGTGAATACAAAGGGAATCGAATCTAAAACACGCTGATTTTCTGTTTTTTTTTCAGAGATCACACTAATTGTGTTAATAATGAGAATGATAATTATGCTAGTAAATGTGAAAATAATTTAACTATGATGATTTATCTTTGTATGAGAATATTCAGGTGACACAGAGCAAGTACTTGGGACCTCAAGAACACAAAGAAGAAAGCTTGGTAAGAAAAGGAAACAACTTAATAACAAATCTAACTATTGTCACAAGATTCGACTCTAGATTTCAGTAAGTTAAAGCTTAGCTGCATATGAGCAGGCAATGGAGCATCGAATTTAAGGCAATCGTGTTCCGAAGAATCAGAATCTGAAGAAACCTCCAATTGTTCCAAGAGCTGAGAGATGTTTGGCAGATCGATCTGCTTTGAGTGGAGATGAAGGTGTGGCTGCTTTGAAGATACATCTCCACCATCCAAATCCAAGCCAAAAGGGGACAATGATGGCTTGGTCGGTGTGTTTCCGGAAGAGACAAAAGGTTCCCTGGATTTATGAGCTTGCCAACCGTATTTATAGTCCCCGAGTATCGGTGTTCCTAGAACTTCTGCGCAGTGTACACGAAGCTGTTGCAATAGAAGACAATTAAAAACACATTGTTTTAAGAGAACAGAGAAACAGAGTGAAAGTTGAAACCGAAACTGAAAATCTATAGAGACCTGATGTTTTCTCCCGGTTAAAGGGCGAAGCTCAAGCCATGTGTATCCTACAGATCAACAATATGCTAAAAACTCAAGGCCAAATCGTATGTTTTAACTGAAAAGAAAAACAAAGTCTTTTGTCACACTAACCATGTGGTGAAGATTCAATCACTCGGTATTCGGTGATAGCATGCTGAGTAGAAACGAGTTCTCCATTGTCATTCACTGTGATACGATCAGATTTTCCATCATCCACAACAACCTACTCAGACATTCCACATACGTGTTAGCTTAGAATTTGACTCCAGTAAAGCAGCAAAAGCAATGATATTGACGGTCTATAGACAAATCAACTCAGAGATCGAACCAAATGGACTATGAAACTCAGATGGGTGATACTTTCTAGCTAAAACAGAGTGTAAAACTGACTTTTCTGAGTGGAGCTGAAATCTGTCCCCGTTGACGTCTTGGACATCCGATCACGAGTGCCAGATATTTTCTTTTCAAGGATTTTATGTTCTTTTTGACACTCTAAGAAAAAGAAAGAAAAGTTACTGGAAGAGAAATTTATGTGGATTTCTCAGGAATCATGACAAGCAAATAAGGAAAAATTTCTATGAGAAAAGCAGAGGATTTACATATGCGGATGCACCAGATGTTTTCTCGCGGAATATAGAATGAAGAACGGTTGCAGCCGTTTGAGTTCTTCCCAACACCAAAAGTCCACTACAGTCTCTGTCAAGTCTATGCACCTAACACACACCATACTAGCATAAGCCAAGAGATTCCTAAATTTTCAGATTAAGTAGGCTTAATAGACTTTCTTCTATAGATCAGACACTTTCTTTTCCGGTTCAGTGTACATTTAGATACATTTCTAATCGGTGCATTACTATGATTCTCGACTAACCAGGCGGGGAGATTCTGATTTACCAAAAGTCAAGCAAGTGGCAGCGAGTTCATCGATGCTGATTTTGATCCCAGTCCCACCCTGTTTCAGAGCAATAGTCAATCAGTTTTCACAAAAATTCCATGAACATGAATCATGAATATACGAGATTACAATCCATCAGAATGCATGAAGCATAAATGACTTACTTGAACAGCCAAACCATGAGGTTTATTCAAGACAATAATGGCTGGATCCTGGAACATTAACTCACAGTTTAGATCTTTCAATCTAATATAACAAGACTAATATGAAAAACCAAAACAGTATAGAGTTTCAAAACCTTGTACAACACCAAGCTGCAAACGAATTTGCGTTCTTCTTCACTGCAACAAAAGCTTTCTTTCTTAGCAGGAGGCGGCGCATCATTGTTTACCGATAAAGGAAGGTAAATTCTATCACCTAAATTCAAGGATTCCTTGGCTGCAACCTTCAAGGGTCAGAATCAGTACCATCAGATAACAGCAGCTTCTCAAACAAATTTAAAAAAGAAGTTTTCTTTTCCAATTAAATAGATGACAGAAGAACATTACCCTTTTAAGTTGGCTTCTTTGTAGTTCATCACCATCACAGCTCAGAGACATTTCTCTTCTAACCTGAAATTCAATTTCACAATGTAAGAAATTGACAACAACAATACCATCACACACTAAAGCGAGGAAGAAATGTAGAATCTTTCAATACACTAATTGGCTAATGATGAAGCAATTGGGTAGAGTAAGAACCTGTCTTAAACGAAAGAGTTTCTGTACGAGAGTCCTGGGAAGATCGGGACGGCAGCGAAGAATCCACCTAAGCGCCGTCGTAGAGCCATCCGATGAAGCTTTGACGGAATCTCCGTCGGAAAATAGCTCCTTTCCTACTGCGGCGGCGTCGATGGTGGGAGAAAAAGGAGGTAAAGTTAGCCATTTGCCTCTCGGATCATCATCATCATCGTCGGCGAGAGGTGTACCGTAGCTACGACGCTGATTAGCCGCAGATAAGGCTCCGCTCGGATCCCTGAAGACGGAAGAGATAGTAGGCGATGGGGATCGGAGATGACGACGGAGCGTCGCCGTCGCAAGTCTCCATTTTGCCATTTAGGGTTTAATCTAGAATTCAAATTAGGGTTTAAGGGTTTGTAGCAGTGGGAAGAGGGAACTGGTTCGGGTCGTCAAACGTAAATTTGCTTTATTAATTTGATTATTTGTTTCGAATTAATTTAAACAAACACAGAAATGAGAAAAGCTATTGGTCTAACTCAACCATCTATTCTCTTCTTTGTCTGAAATTTCAGATTCTCCATCACAACATAATTTTTTTGGATTTTTCTAGAGGTAATTAATGCAAACATATCAGCACATAATCTTAGCGGGATTTTCAGTAACTGAAAACATAAAAATATATTTATTGATGAGAATTAGTTTGAGGATTTTGTGCTTTAGGCATATAATTCGTTGATGAGAATTAGTTTGAGGATTGAGCATCTCTTACTTGTATTGCCTAAATTAATTCATAAGTCGTACAAAGAATGTATCTTGAATTGAATGTCCATTTTTTTTGTTTAGCATATATACAATCCTTAGGCAACCAACTTTCCTTTGTTTCGTTGCCATGACATTGTCGCAGCCGAGAGAAAGTTTGAAGAATCTTGTTTGTCTTTGCGGATTATGAAGCTAAGGATAATTGGATTTGAAAGGTATATCTAATTCACTATAGGAGGATTATGTCATCGCTTCAAAGGATTTCCTCGAGTATTGAAAAGTTGGAGTTTTGATGTGATTCATGTAATTTGGGTGTTAAGTGTTTATTCTACCATCAATAACAAATAACAAATCTAATATAAACATCACATGAAAAAAAAAAACAATTGCACTTGTAAAACCAACACATTCACATGTTGTTTAACATGTAAATCTGGCTAGACGACGTCTAGGCGGCCAACCTAACCCGCTCTCTTGAACACTGATATAATCTATTCGATCATAAAACTTTCAAATCCAAAAATATGCATTTAGTTATGCGGACTTGTATGTAGCAGATCACATCAAACTATATAATAGACTTAGACCTATATGGTCGGTGCCTCCTTGAGTCACATAGTTGAAAGCATACATGCATGTTTAGTCATCTGGAGTTATAGCAGGTCGAGCTCATAAAATTAAATAATAGAATTAGATCCTATAGTCGGTGCCTCCTTGAGTCACATAGTTAGAAAGCATGCATATTGCTTGCATGCTTGTATTTTGCATATAAAACTTAGTTAAAAACAAATTATCGATAGTTTTTAATTTTGATGACCTGTTAACGCTAACAGAGAAAAGTATTTCTATGTTTCGTCAAATAGAAGATAGAGTAGAAAATGAAAACATAGCTGTAAAGGTGTTATCATGGCTTAACTTATCATTGTTGTCTTCATCATGTGAGCCACTCAAAAGTCAAAGGTTCTCCTCTCTAATGTCCTTCGTCTCTTTTATACAGAATCTCATCTCTTTATGAATAATTAATTAACGTTTTATTGACCATTTATTTTAGTAAGAAAATTGTTAAAGCTTGATAAATTTATCAACAGAGATAAAACCAACAAAATTTTCACTTTAATTATAAACCCGCCGCTTAAGGCTAACTCAAATTTACAATTTTATTTTAGTAAGAAAATTGTTAAAGCTTGATAAATTTATCAACAGAGATAAAACCAACAAAATTTTCACTTTAATTATAAACCCGCCGCTTAAGGCTAACTCAAATTTACAATTTTTACAGGATATAATGTAGAATGTAGCATGGAATATTGTCAGTTAGGTTTCCACAAATAGGATCGAACTCGATCATATAATGGAACCGAACTTTAACTTCAGTTATTTATTTGGTTTACTTTTTATAATTGAGTTATTATATGAAATCAAAACCAAAAATGAACATAATCGAATTAGTTAATTTGCTAAAACAAATTTCAAATTTTGTTAGAGAAATGACACTGATTAAAGTGAGCCAAACGAATTTTGATTTCACTTTGGTGCAAATATTTCATAAAAATGAAGAATCAAACGAACATTCGAATTTAGTTTTGTAGCAAAGAACTATTAACTTTATTATTATATACAATTTTAATTTAATGATAACTATTTGGAGTCCTTCAGCAAAATGTGCATGCTACCACAAAAAGTAGCATGCGGATCACTTCATAACAAAGTGGTTCCCCATATAACATTTTTTGTATTAATGATTCCCCGTAAACTTGCATGCAGCAATACATATAATTAACATTAATCACATTCATAGTTCCATTAATGTATTACTTGTAATTGCATAAAGTGGAATCGAAACTCTTTTGTAATTTTGGAAGAATTTCATATACTTAATGGTATCGATTGGTTTGAGATGAGGTTGACTTGACGCTAGCATTGTTTACATATAAACTAAGGTCATGATTTTTTTTTTCTCCCTTAAATTCAATTGATAGTTACAGTATCCCAGCATATAAGTCTTTGTTTTAAAATTTCGGAGAGTTTGTTGTTGTTCTAAATCAACTTCAGGCCATAGTATTTGTTTCATACAGATACAGTATATAATGTTTATGAATATTAGAGTGATAGGCAGATAAAAATGTAATCAGTAATCTGATCATATAATTTCTACTCATTAACAAACCCGTTTCTCTAGTTTATTATATCAAAATTTAGAACCAAACAAATGATCATATATACCCTCATGCCTCATATTTAACATTTCTCTTTTGGTCAAGAATCTTTCTAAAATAATAAGAAGATCAATCATAATTTGAGCGACAGTTGCACTTAAAATGTGTAAAGACAGTGGTCATGGCTTTTTTTTTTAATGGTAGACTAGTTAATATTTTTTTCTTGTAATCGGACTTTCATTGGCTGAATTTATTAGGAGACTTCAATCTTTTTTTTTTTTGGAGTAAAATTAGCAATCTTCAATTAATCTTAGTTATATTGTGAAAGTTTAAACCTACTAGTTTAGAAACCTTTTTGTGATCAATAAAGTTTGTAAACAATCTCATGGTGGTCTAGTGACTGAAGATTCACTCTATTAGTTAGACATCAGGGTTCGAATCTTCTTTACCGTGATTTAAATCATGTTTGGACATCTGTGCATTAACGCCTTTAAATGGCAAGTAAAACCAGATTTTCATAAGCCCCAATGATTAATCCGTGTGTTTGGCTTCCGATTCCCATGATTATTTAACAAAACAATACATCAATATAAGTTTGAAGCATAAATGCGTTTTATTGTGTATAAAGTATTGATATTTGTTAAATTATGTAGTTATCCGAAAATGTAAGCATCCATATTCCATGATTAGAGGAACCCTCATTTAAAGATTAATAAAAAACCCCAACTTGATATTAAAAAAAAAAAAAACACCAAACATATCTATCTATATAAACCATATCGCAGCACCTAAACCACATCATCCCATGATACCATAAACTCATTGAATCCTAAAAAACACAACTGAAAGAAGAAAAACCTTTTTATTTCTTTTGTTAGCTCTAGCAATGGATTTAGCCAAACACACAAAACTTCAAATATTGGGATGCATACTCCTTGCATCACTTGCACTAACAATGGCTCAAACACCACCGGGCATAGTCAACAACCCAAGCCATGCAACATGTAAGATCAAGAAGTACAAACATTGCTACAACTTGGAACATGTTTGCCCCAAATTCTGTCCCGACTCTTGCCATGTTGAATGTGCTTCTTGCAAACCCATTTGTGGCCCTCCTTCCTCCGAAGAGGACGGTGGTGAAGAGGACGGTGAATACACTCCGGCTCCGGTTCCTCCTGTTTCACCTACGCCTCCAACTCCTACACCATCTGTGCCAAGTCCCACTCCACCAGTTTCACCATCGCCTCCGACTCCTACACCGGCCGTGCCAAGTCCCACTCCACCAGTTCCGACTCCTACACCGGCCGTGCCAAGTCCCACTCCACCAGTTCCGACTCCTACACCGGCCGTGCCAAGTCCCACTCCACCAGTTCCGACTCCTACACCGGCTGTGCCAAGTCCTACTCCACCATCTTCACCACCACCTCCTACTCCTACACCAGCCGTTCCAAGCCCTCCTAATGTTAATCCTACACCATCTACTCCTACTCCAGCCGTTCCAAGCCCTCCTAATGTTACTCCCACACCACCTACTCCTAAACCATCCGTTCCAAGCCCTGATACTCCTACCGCACCACTCCCTCCATATTCCCCACCTGCAACTCCCACTCCCTCCGTTCCAAGTCCCACTCCTACAGTACCTTCTCCTTCCGTCCCTGTTCCAAGTGCTCCAAACTCACCTCCTTACGTTCCCCCATCCTCTCCTACTCCAACGCCTCCATCAGACGGCGAGGCAGGAGCAGGAGTCAGAAGGGCCAGGTGTAGAAAGAAGGGCTCTCCATGTTATGGAGTTGAGTACACTTGCCCGGCCGCTTGTCCCCGTTCTTGTGAAGTAGACTGCGTCACTTGCAAGCCTCTTTGCAGTATGTCATCTCCATATAACTCGTCCTCCTTGTTAGTTCTTTATCATTCAATTATTTCATTAATATATGTTATCAATCATGATACGTGCGTTGTGATGCAGATTGCGACAAGCCAGGATCTGTTTGCCAAGACCCACGTTTCATCGGAGGAGATGGTCTAACCTTTTACTTCCACGGCAAGAAAGACTCCAACTTCTGCCTCATCTCCGATCCTAACCTTCACATCAACGCACATTTCATCGGTAAACGAAGGTCTGGTATGACACGTGACTTCACTTGGGTCCAATCCATTGCCATCCTCTTTGGCACTCACCGTTTCTACGTCGGAGCCCTCAAGACCACCACGTGGGACGATTCCGTTGACCGTATCTCAGCCTCTTTCGACGGAAACGTTATCTCACTTCCTCAGCTAGACGGTGCCACGTGGACTTCATCCCCTGGAGTTTACCCTACCGTCTCGGTCAAGCGTGTCAACGCTGACACTAACAACCTCGAGGTACGACCTAAGAAAAATATTAGTTCTCACAAAGTTATATATTTAAACTAAAAGAAACAAAATCAAAATATAGAAAATTTATCTCATTCTAGGATTAAAATCTTCGTTTTTTTTTATCAAATCAATAAAATTTCCGTATTTGGTCATATGTTAATAGCTAGTCATTGTTGATTATTATCTTTCAAATAACAAACGCAACCAATTTTTCTAAACGTAAATCCGTTATAGTGATCTATTAATTATATATATATATATGCATTTTTTTTTCTTCAGGTTGAAATAGAGGGCTTGCTTAAGATCACAGCAAGAGTGGTGCCAATAACAATGGAAGAGTCAAGAATCCATGGCTACGATGTGAAGGAAGACGATTGTCTAGCTCACCTCGACTTAGGGTTCAAGTTCCAAGACCTTAGCGACAATGTCGATGGTGTTTTGGGACAGACTTATAGGTCTAACTACATCAGCCGAGTCAAGATCGGAGTCCACATGCCTGTGATGGGCGGTGACAGAGAATTTCAGACCACCGGACTTTTTGCACCTGACTGCTCAGCCGCAAGGTTCATCGGTAACGGAGGAAGCCACGGTGATGGTCGGAGCAAATTGGAGCTCCCTGAGATGAGTTGTGCCAGTGGCGTTGGTGGCAAGGGAGTGATCTGCAAGAGATAGACACTTCTTTGTTCTTTGACTTAATTCGTTACTAGCTACTACCATTAAACAATATATGGTAATATAATACTATAACTTAATAAAATGTGTAACGCGGTTGTTTTTTTTTTCTTCCTATACAAATAAAATAATCGAGAAAGTAAACATGCAATAATATAAACTTAATTTTTGTTTTTCTTGAATTTATTGAAATGTGAATTCATATTAATATCTTCTTCTTTTTTTTTTCTTTCAATAACAACTACAGAAAAAAATAGGAGAAACAAGTAAATTGGTAATGACAACAGAAGGAAATTGTAAAATGTTATATCAAAATAAAATAGATACTTGTCAGCGCATCAAAGCTTGTCTGTCCCTTTTCTATGTCAGCGTATGTCTGTGTAGCCGAGACATATGTTATCTTTTAGATCATCTGAGTTTTAAAGTTTTAATTTTTTTGTTTATTTGTTAATTTTTAGTAATTTTGGTTACACTCCAACAAAATGTGCTCCCACGTAAAGGTAGCATGCAGATCGCTCTTTCTTAACAAGAAACATCTATTAGATGAGGGAAAAAAAAGAAACATCTACTAGATATTTTTTTTTTTTTTCGTCTTTTCATGTAATGAAAGCCCAGCAACTTATAAGAGTTTTCGAAACCTAACCCACAGCTCTTCAATCATACATTTTAAATCCAACTAAAGCCTATTTATCTCTAACAGATAATTATCAAATATAACACAACACGTATTACATACGTGGAGGGCTAAAAGAAAGCTATGGATGAAACGTTGTCAACACCACATCATCGGAAAATAGCTTCGCCGGACCACCGATCTGATGATCTCCGACGGTGTTGTTGCAGAATTCCAGCAAATCGAGGATGTCTTCTTCGAAAACTAACCTTGTAAAACTCCATCTACAGACATTTTGAAGAAGATCCTAAATGAATGATGGACTCTTCTCTTCCATAAAATCACCTCCGATCATCACTATTTCATAGCTAATACCCTCTGCCTTAACAAAGGCATTTTAGAAGAGGATTTAGGGAGATTCTACTCCCAACCAAGAGAGAATGATACCAAATATTGGATTAGAGATTTCAACCATCATCGCCGGATCTGGGCCTCACCACTTCGTGCAAGAAGAGAAGCCAAACCTGTAGAATAGAGTTATAAAATCCGAATACAGAAATCTTTTTGCTTTATCATTTAGAAATCCAAACTGATCGATTCTTTTAATTGATAGAGATCTTTTCTTCACTAAGATTAGCGAAGATGATGACTTTATATATGAAGAATCGATCTGATGTAACAAAAGAAATCTGGAACGGAAAGATAAAATCCGATGAACGGAATACAGGAATCCGACTTAAAGAAATATGAAACAACAAAAGATCTTAAAGTCGGAATTATTATCCGATTTGATCGGAAAAACAAAGAAGAAAACTCTCACTCTCTGTGAAAGATTTTAGAGAGAGAACAGAGAGGTGACCTACCTCCGGCGAAACATCTACTAGATATAAGCAAGTACATTATTTTACCATCATTATGTGAAAGCCGAAGCCTGTGAAATTAAAGCAACCAAAGTATAATTTTGTGCAGTAATATTTAAAGAAAAAAAAAACATACTGTATAAAAGCCATAGAAGGCCATTGAATTCAACATCACAACACGAAAACCAAAACACAATGAATGGATTCCATCGTGTGATTGATTTAACATTCCCTGTTTTTATGTACACATCTTCCTTCTTTTTATCATCATCACTACTTCAATCGCTTTCGAAGTCGTCTTCATCTCCAAACGAGAACACAGATGCATCAGCCGCCACAACCTTGAACTCACTACTCTCTGAGCTCGACGCGTTGACCCCAGACCCAGTGGGTTTCTCTGTCGCTTCAGCCTTGCTAACCGTTCCTTGCACCGGCTCTGATGATCCCTTGTTTCCAGAAATAGACACTTTCTCGGTCGCAAGAGTCAGACCAGAGGTTTCATCTGCGCTCTGTTTGGATTGTGGGGTTTGAGAAGAAGCCGATGATGTGGTTTTGGTCGGACCAGTTGAGTCTGTTTCGTTATCAGAGAACACATCGTCCTTATCAGGGTTCTCTGTTTCTTTACTGGGTCCTGGAGCCGGTATGACACCCTCTACAGGGGAGGAATTAGCTGCTGAAGTTTCGTCGGGTGGCTTGGATGCTGTTTCAGAACTAGGGTTTGCAGGGATTGTTTGGTTAATATCAGCAAGAACAACTTCAACCATAAATCCAGGCGATGGTAGCTTCCTCTGTATTTGATTTAAGGATTAAACACAAAGAATTATCATTTCAAACCGACAAATTGATAGAGGAGCCCAACCTCGACTTAAACAAACAAAAGTCAAGCATTCAGTAATTACCTTGTCAAACCCGTCAAGTTCACTGGTTTTAAGAATCACTCTGTTTTCCATCATTGTCGTGTTTAACCAGCTGAGAATAAGATTACAGAAAAGCTAATTCGTGTGAGAAAAACAGAAAATCAAAGCTATATTGGTTAGGGATTTGGATCACGAGGAATTAGCTTCCGAACCAGTAAAAATCTCCTTGGCGATCGTGAAAATGGATTTTGAAGTCCCCAGCTAACTCCGTTAGACCGGGTTCTCCGGGTAGGGCAAAGACCATGACCCCTTTCTTTGGGGCACTGAACCAAAAGTCTTCAGGCTGCAAAAGCATGAAAGTTCCACTAAACCACACGATGCGAATTCATAAAGGCTTTAACGAAAAACTTGATAGCAATAGACAGTGGCTAACCGATAGATCCTTGGTTCTAGGATGCTTTTTCGTGGTAAAGAGAACACCTGCATATAAGTTACAAGAAGATATTAGCTCAGCATGATACTGGCTTTCTAAGTTGTCATGAAACATTGATCGTCCAACTCACCATTGTGATCTGAAATAGTGATGGATGGCCTGATCCAATAGGGACACCTATGGAGCCGGAATCCCCTAAGCATACACCTATATAAAAGGAATTGTACGATGTCAATACACAACTGTGTGCTATATTAAGGTATATGAACAAGCAGCTTACTTGCGGCCTGGTTGGTTTTCCCCGTTGAAGTAAGTCAATATTCGTTCAAAGTATTTCACATATCTCTACAAAATAATGATTAAACAGACTCACTAGTCAGCAGAAGAGCAAAGAACCTTTTTGACTATGTAACGTTAGCACAATATAGTTATATAATTCCAATACAAGACTTACAATTTGGCTAGGTAACACAAGCCCTTTTCCATCCACACATCGTTTCTGGTTGTAGAAGTCCATGCACTCTTCGGCAGTCGGAAAAAACTAAACAAGAGAAGGAACCATGATTGGTTTTGTGTGTTGGACTATGTTTATACAATGTTACGATAAATGCTTTACCTTCAGATACAGCAGAAGACTACATATCATGAGCCCAGTCCTCGCCATTCCAGCCTTACAGTGAACAACCACAACATTCTCTATGTCCTCCTTCAACCACGAATATGCACTTTGGCAAAATGAGGTAATCAAATGGATTGGTGGGCAATTGTGATCATCAAATGGGAAACTGGCGACCTGGAGGCAAAATTATTAGTGCAAAGAAAACAGATGTTTAGGGACAAAAATGAGTGGATGTAAGAAATGAGCAAATTATCCAAATCTTGTACGTACGCCACAAAGTACAGATTTTCTTTTATTGCCAATTGTTTCATAAGTAGCTCGGAGTTAAAGTAACTTGAGTGCAGTGAGTGATCTATGGAGCAAGTTTCTTTAATTTGACTAAGGCACTATTACTCGAGGAAGTCATATGTAGGTCAAATGCGAGGAAAAGAGGAAGAAAAAAGAATAGGGTATACTGTAACATACCTTCCCTTCAAATAGTGATACATCATACAACCTCTCTGAACAAAGATTGTAAACCTTGTATTTTCCCTATAATAAAAAGAAAGCAATTATAAGAATAGCTCAGAGCAGAACCTAAATATAAAGGCTGTAGCTACGCATCATATCTAAGTTACTTTCCAAAACTTAGATGGCAAGATGGCGTAACTAACACATTTCTAAAGGACTAGAAACACATTCGCTATTCTTGACATATGAACATCGAAAATTTTTTCTAACAAATTAGTAGTACTACCTTGTGTTGAGTTTCAAGAAAGTTAATAACTTCTTCCATCTGGTTGCGGTAGAAACCCTGCATAGATGTTTTGAACGAACATGGCCAGATTAACTTCGAACGAATCTGGCAGCAAAAACTAAAACTAAAATAGAGCATTACAAGCATACTAATTGACTCACTTCGACATATCCAAAAAAGCCAGAACTCATATCACCGGCAGGAAACCCCATAGCAATAATGTTCTCTGTTATGTAGGTCAAATCCAAATCAAACCCTCCTTCCTGAACCACAAGGCGAGCAAAAGAAAAACTTAACTTCAGATGCGGAAGCACGCTAGCATGGACGTAACTGGGTATCAAAACAGATGACACGAAATCTATAAACTGTACCTGGTATCTTCTTTTGTTCTGGGATACAGCGTGTCGAGCCTTGACCTGTACTGCCTTGACTGCATTCTTCGATGTATCTACCAAACCTTTCGTAATTGTGCCAATGAAACCTGGTTGTGTACCAGTTGAAGTTCCTTCTGTGGTCTCGTCTGGTTGAGGAGATTTCGGAGATAAACGAAGTCCTAACCCACTGGTGAATTTCGCAAAAGCAGACTTTTCAGTATTGTCGACATCAGAGTCGGCTCGTGTGGAAGAAAATGGCTGGGGAACTTTCAGATTTTTGGCCCATGTTGATATCCCAGAGGCAGACAGTTTTGATGCTACCCCTTTAGGTGAATCTTCGCTTCCAGCTTCTACAGAAGCAGGAGGAGGCTGACCATCTGGTATTCCAGCAGCTGGCAAATTTGGTGAATCAGATGACATAGTTTCTATCACTCGTAGAGTCTCTCAAAAGGAACACTAAAGCTTGATCTTGAATCCAAAATATGAATTATCAAAGTTCCAAATCCCCTCTTCTGCAGACATCACATCAAAAAAACTACATTGAGTAAGATAGTTTATAAATCTAATCTAAAAGTTCAGAATAAAAGAGACTTCAACTTCAAAATCAAGCTAAAACCTGGAGAATTTCTGATTTAGCACAACTGTTTCAAATCATTTGCCCTAAATCATCATTTCCGTGTTCTAATTCGCCTAAGAAGACCATTGTCCCGTTCTAAAACAGAACCAAACAAAATCTAAAGCCAATTAACTTAACACTATGCATAAACACCCATTTCAGCTTTGCCAAGAACATGCACATTCGACGAGTTACTCAAAGCTATTAAACAACAATTAATGGGCGATCACGACATGAACCTCATAAAGAAGCATCAAAGGCAGGTTAAACCTTAGAGCAAACCATCAAATCCAGAGAACCACAAATCAAATATTTGAAATCTCGAAACCAGATCAGAAAAGGGAATCAGAGAATCACAAAAATCAAGAGCAAATTGAAAACATCAAAAGCATAGGAGCTAGACAAAACCTCATAGATCGAGAACCAAATCCAAAGACATAAGGCTCCGTGGATGAAAATCGAACCGAACAAGTTAGAATTTGACGCGCGCGAGGTTAAGAAGGAGCTAGGGCTTGAGAATTTCAGATATTCGATAGATAGATTGGGGAAACGAAACACAGTATCGAGATCAAGTCACGTGAGAGTTTCGGTCAACATTAAATCAGTGCCGTTAGATCTACAGACGTTTAGATGGTTTTGGATCCGGATCGAACGTTGCACGTGGTGTCTCGAATTTACTTTTACATTCTAATTGAGATGGATCATTTTGGCTGAAGATGAAAAAAAAACACAGCAACAAAAGAACTTTAAAGGCTTTAAACAATTAAAATGTGATTGGTAGATGGACTTTAGAGTTTAGAGGCTGTAGAGAGTAGAGACTCTACCTATCTATGGAACAAATATCAGATTAGTAACGTTAAGACTTTTTTTCTCATTGGTAGAGCCGTGTTTGAGATTTCTCTAACTACAAGCGAGATAAAAAAATTGGCCATTTAAAATAAAATTGTTCTTTCAAACAAAACACGCATTAACATATTCACAAACCAATTAGACTAACTTAAATTTTGAAAAATTAGCCCCAAAAAAATATTTAACTCCTCCGGTCTTGAAACACATGCTTCATTAACTTGTGCTCAGACAGCTGGAAAGTTTGGCTGATAGCTTCAATGGCAACGCAGATCCTGTTCTTCGTGTTTTTGGATTAATAGCCACTGCATGTCACGAAGACGTTGTAATGGTGCTATGAGAGCTAAAGAACAACGACATCAACATCATTAGCCAATGATGAAATGGTTCCAATTTCTTGAAGGTGAAGAAGTCAAACTTTTTTTTAGTATTTTAATGGTTCTTTTGAGGTGAATCTTCTTTGTTTTTTACTTTTTACTATCGATTGTTTATTCTGGGCTCTGTCTTCTAAGCTTTAGGTGCTAAAATTTATAAAACTTTTGGGGCATCATATGTAATGTTTATAATTTCTTCACTTGATAGATCAAAACGTGGAAGGGTCGTCAACTTATTTGATTAAATCAGATTAGCTTTTCCTTGATTATTTGATTAATCACTACTGTTCTTTTTTAGCTTTTAGTTTTAGCTATGTTTACAAGGGTATAGAACTATAATTCAATATACAAGATGTGTCCCTTATAAGTGAATGTGTTACCAAAAAGAAAAGGTTTGTTGAGCCTTATGAAACGGCATTTACAAGTCAAATTTTTATTATTCGAGGAAGATTACATTAATGCTATGGAGTAAATATCTGATTCCTTCTTACACATTTACCGCAAGTCAAATCAGATCCAAGATAAACAAATTAAAATTAACGAGAGTAATCAAACTATGATCCAATCTTGAAGTGTCTAAAGACAAAAGACGAATCTTGGCAACTTGGGATTAAAAAGTTGAAAACAAATCGCTTCTTTATTCGATTAATCTCTCCTCAAGCGCTGCTTACAAGCACGTTTGTAGCCTTCGTGGACGCAATCGCTGGGCCTCGTGTCAAAGCTCTTACGCTGAACGGACTGTTTCCCTTCTGTCCACATCAAAATCCATAAACGAATCAGTCAAGTAAACATTAAAAAAAACAAAGTCTTTCACTTGTGCGAAAGTTCCAAATTTGGTGTCTTAACGACATCAAGAAAAAACTAACCATTCTACAAGTATTGGCCCTCAAATCACAGACAGGGTATGACTGAGGGCAGCAACTAGAGCCATCCTCGCAGCAAGTAGCTGACTCAAGCGGACAACATCCCCAGCTATAGCATTTGCCTTTGTACTCATAGAGACAACAACAAGTGGACTTGGCTGGACAAGTGTAAGACTTGTCACAAACAACAGGTGAAGGAGGTGGCGGTTTTGGTGGGTTCGAGCTCGATGATTTGGTAGGGTAAGATGCCATCATTGTCACACCGCATTTCCCGGCTGAGTCATCGATGTTACGCTCGAGCTTAATGTATCCGCTTTCTCCCCAGTTCGATCCCCATGAGTTACGAATAATCCAATAGTCTTGACCACTTGATGATCCGTATCCCACGGCTACAACACCATGGTCCAAAGCTGTACCACATGTTCCTGTAAACACACCCTGTGGAAACAAACATAATGAGTTGGATTTTTTTTTTCACAATCCTATGTGATAGATCAATCAAGGATTTTTGTTTAGCATTATTACGGATTTGTAAAGCTGGAAAGCTCGGCCACCGGCTTCAATGGCAACACTAATTGGTTGATTAGCGAGAGCTTTCTTCAAAGACTTCTCATCGTTTTGAGGAACATCCTCATAACCATCGATGGTAACAACACGTGTGTTCTTCTACAGGACAAAACAGAGCACATAACACCATAAGTATACTACCATAAATCAAAACATTGGCGTTTATAATCAGCGGTTTCTCTATACCTTGTCGGAATTGCACATGTTAACATCAGTTGCGGTGTAAGGGTAATCTTCCTCTGTGTCAATACCACCGTTTTTGATAATGAACTGAAAAGCATAGTCCATGAGACCACCACCACATCCACCATTGTAGCTCGTGTCACAATCAACAAGTTCTTGCTCCGACAAAGATATCAATTCTCCTGTCTTGATCTGGTTTATCCCTTCAACCGCACCAATCGCCGAAAACGCCCAACAACTTCCTATTCATTGTCAAAAACAAAACAAAAAAATCTCACATCAGCTCGGTTCCAAACACGAAACATAAAACGCTAGAATATAGCGGTTAAACCGCCAACGCAGTTCGCAGTCATACCACAGTTTCCTTGATTTTTGACTGGACCAACGGCGCCTTTCTGTCTCCAATCGACTTCATCAGGCAAAGAATCTCCTTCCTTGTACAAATACCTCTCACCCTTCACCGAATCTCTAGTCCTCTCCATCTTCCTCCTCAAGTAAATCGCTCGAAACTCTTCGTTCGTCAGATCCGCGAACCGGGTCAACCCGAGTTCGTAACTCTGACCCGGGACCGAATTATGCTCTTCCACGAACCTCAAGTTGTCCTTGAAGATCTGGAACCGTGTCTCTTTCTCTCCAAGACCATTATAGTTCTTACGATTCTCCACGAGCCACCGCTCGTACATCCGCCGCACTTGCGCCTCGTCCTGGATCGTCACCTTCGCCGTGACGCCGCCGAGAGATAGGGAAGTTAGTAACACCGAGAAGATCACGAGAGATAGGGTTATAAATCTGATTGGATTAGACATTTTTTGTTGTTGTTGTTGTTTTTGTTATGTTTCAATGAGATTTCTGCAACTGTTGCGCGAAGTATTTATAGAGGAGGAAACTTTTGTCGTCGAGAGAAATGGAGAGGGAGAGGGAGAGATTCGTTCTTCCTATTGGCTTGACGTGTTAATTTAATTTATTTATTTTTTTAAGAATAATTATAACAAATAACCAAATTTACACTCATATTTGCATATATAACTATATCTTGTAGATGATATTGACACTACAGAAATTTTTTTAATACCAAAAAATCCCTATAGCTATACTAGTCTATAACTATGTACCTACATACATTAACACATACATATCATTTCTTCTTCTCTCTCCTCTCGTTCTCCTTTCTCTTTTTTCCTTGCTTTCTCTTTCATCTCCCTATTTTCTCATGTTTCTATTATAATTTTTTTCACCTTCATCTTCAAGATCATCTTCTCAAAACAGTATTTCTCAACAATATCAAATCATAATCATTAGATTTGCTTATTGAAAAGTCAAATCCGAAATTTAATGGATATGATCAAAACTGGTAAAAATTCCAACTCCAATCTAAACTTTCAATCAAAAATTAACATTAGTTTGATTTCAAACTAGAAAAATCACCATAATTTCTCCATTGTTGATCAAAGTTCATTTTCTGACTTTCCTTATGAGGAAAACCAACTCTGTATTCAAAGTGTTATAACAACCGATCATATTGGTATTAACATATTTAATAATGTGTCTCTAGCTGAATTACTTTTATAAATTTATTTTTAGACTGCTAGCATATCTAATAGAATGCTCTATGTATTTGTAGCACTCTAACTACAAAAATAACACCTTTAACAATCTATATAATTCAATATTATTATCAATCTAACATATTTTTTACCTAGTAAATTATAATGTTAGACATCAATTTATATGTAATGTGCTAAATATATCAATAACATCTTTAATCATCTATATAATTCATTATTGTTATCAATCTAACATATTATTTACCTAGTAAATTATAATATTAGACGTTAATTTATATGTTATATGTTAAGTATATCAATAACATCTTTAATTATCTATATAACTCATTATTGTTATCAATCTAACACTATCTTTACCGTGTAAAACATAATATTATATGTAAATTTATAAGTTTATATATGATATAATAATTGTTAATCCATAACAAAATATATAACTCGTTATTATACTGTATATTGAAGTTAAATTTGGAATATATTGTGTGGTTGAGATTCATTGAAAGTAGATTTGAGCAGATTTTTTTATACCTACGAAAATTTTTGGTATCCTATGCAATAATTATAGCCATTGTCCACATAAAGACAAATTCATATGACAGATACAAAGAAGGACAAAATGGTATTTACTGATAACCATCGAAATAGTGTTTTGAGTTTCTAGTGGGCCCCTGGTCATTTTTGCAAATTCTATCAGTTTTTTGGTCATTTATTTAATTAACTCTTTTTTTAACACAACTTGATTTTTCTTAGTTATTTACTTATTTTGTATAAATTTAAAGGGTTTTTGCTAAAAATGACCTAAAACTTGATTTTGAATACAAAAGTAGACTTCTGATGTAATATTTAGCAAAAATAACCTAAAGGGATAGTGAAAAGACAATATACTCCTGTATGACCAAATAAAAAAACGGATGTCCTAATTACAGTTTAAACCCTGACGAAGTCTACTTTAAAGTAATAGAAGTCTACTAGTAGACTTCTAACATAGCTTATGAAGTCTACTGTATAATTAAATCATAAAATTTAATTTTAAAAATTATAAAAAAATAATATTAGTTTCAAATTTGTAATCATAAATTAGATATTAGTAATCTTAATGTAGATAAATTATTTTTTTATATTTATAAGTTTAAATTTATGATTTCAAATTAAGAAGAACAAAATATTTGATTTAGGGTTTACACTTAGTAGACTTCAATATGGAAGTCTGCCAAACCGAATAAATTAACTTTACCAGAAATTAAACCGAAAATAATTTTCCTAACCAAAAATTAAACCAAAATTAAACCAATAAATATTAGTCATATATATAAGATGTAACCCTAATTTTTTAGTGGAAAAAAAAACTCTCGCCTCTCTCTTAAACGGCGCATCACTCGCCTCTCTCGCCGGCCTCTTCGCCTCTCTCGCCGGCCTCTTCGCCTCTCTCACCTCTCTTCTCATTTCTTCTCTACCCTAAGCGTAAGGCTGACCAGGAGATCCCTCACCTTCTGTCTGCTGAGCTCAAGCTCGCCGGTGCTACCATGTTGTTTGCGACATCTCAGGGGTGATTTCATTGCTGCAGCTGGTTCCCTCCTCGTTGCCGGATTTCTCGTTGGTCGCCGGCACTAAATGGTAAATTATCGTTACTCTCTTTGGTTGTCCGTTGAAAGACTCTCTCTCTTCCATATCTTTGGATTCTTAATTGACATGTGTGACAGGTTAGAATCGGAAGTGGGGAAGATTAATCTTCCGGATGAGCGTGAACTGGAGTTCGGATTAGGGCGGTGGCGGTGAACGGCTCAGTCTCGGCGGTGGCGCATGGAGGAGCTTCTCCTCCTCGTTCAAGTCTTGGCGGTGGCGCGTGAAGATTTTCCCGGCCCTTTTCGCCCTTTACTATGAAGGCTGTCTTCCCGAGGTATTGTTTACCTTCTTATGTTTACATCTCTATGATTGCTATTTTGATTGTGTTTAGGTGTGTGTTTTGTCCATAGTAAGGCATAATGATTAATTTTGTTTTTCGCAGCATTTTACGATATACGGTTATTCTAGGAGTAAGATGACAGATGTTGAACTTAGAAACATGGTCAGCAAAACACTGACCTGCAGAATTGATAAGAGGTGAGCTCATAAAGTTTCCGTTTTTTAGTTTAAAGACTCATTTTTTGGAGTGTCAAGACTCCGAACTTTATGCTTAGTTAGAGAAAGTTTGTGAAAATTATGAACTCTGATCGTTATGCCATTGTTCCATCTGGATTTTAGGGAGAACTGTGGTGAGAAGATGGACGAATTTCTCAAGAGATGTTTTTACCATTCTGGTCAGTATGATTCTCAGGAACATTTTACTGAACTAGACAAGAAGCTCAAGGAACATGAGGTATTGTTGTGTCCCACTGCCACTTGTTCTGTTCTGCTTTCAAAATATTTTCGACCTTATTTGCGTTGGTTCCTTTATGCTTGTTCGCTTGCAAGTTCAGTAAATTAGAAGATTGGAGTCTTGTTTCTGTTTATAGATGAACTTATCTTTTTTTCTTTCTGCAGGCTGGAAGAATCTCAAACCGCCTCTTTTATTTGTCTATCCCTCCAAATATATTTGTAGATGCAGTGAAATGTGCAAGCTCTTCAGCTTCTTCTGTCAATGGCTGGACTAGGGTCATTGTAGAGAAACCTTTTGGTCGAGGTTCTGAAACCTCTGCTGCTTTAACGAAATCCCTCAAGCAGTATCTGGAGGAAGACCAGATTTTTAGGTGGGAGATATTGCACTTAAAGCTTTGTTGTTGTAATGCTGATGCTTCTGGATGCTTGCCTGATATGAAAAGAAAGAGGAGATCTTGCAATATCTCTGTTGAGATCTTGCTGAAGCAATAACTAATCTTGATTTCGAAAGGTAAGTGAGTGAATCAAGCGAAAAGGTAAGTGAGTGAATCAAGCGAAAAGAAAGATGAGATCTTGCGAAGCAATAACTAATCTTGATTCCATAAACAAAGTCTTAAAAGGTATTCAAAGGAGATACCAGATGCATATGAGAGGCTTCTTCTGGATGCAATAGAAGGAGAGAGAAGGTTGTTCATAAGAAGTGACGAGCTTGATGCAGCTTGGTCACTATTCACTCCATTGCTTAAACAACAGTGTTATAATCATTAAGTTGTTTTTCTTGTTATAGTCATTAAGCAGGATATCAATATGACAAATTGTAAAACATATGCATCATGTAATGCAAATTGATGTTAATATATGGAGATCTTTTCAGTTTATCTTTTTAAGGGGTATGATAACAAGCCTTAAACATGATCAAAAGTCTTGACTGCACATATTGTCTTTTACCAAGTGTCCAAGACAATGTTTTAAATCAGCTTATGTCACTTTATCAACTTAATTTTGTATGTAATATCAACTTGTGTGACTTAATTTTGTATGTACTATAAATATTAACTTGTAAACAAGAATACAAAAACATTGCACAAAATACAAGTTCTCTTCCATCTCATATTTTCAATTGAACTATTCTATATCAGAAAACACAAAAAATCATATTAGCAAACATAATTATAAACCAAATTATGGCAAACACATAGAACACAAATTTTTCTAGCAATTAGACTTTGTGTGCAGACTTCATCCGTAGATTGTTGGAGAAGTCTACTTTTACAAGCTAACTAGCTTATAAATCAAAAAAATTGATTTCAAACTAATTATCGACTTAAATCAAATGAAAATTATTGAGTAGTTCAACCACTTGCTAACACGCATATCCAAACCTAAAAATTTTAAAAAACATTACAAATATTTTTGAAAAGTGTTTTTAAAATAAATACAAATAGTATACTTCCCAATTAGATTTCCTTAGTAGACTTCTCCTGAAGTCTCTGAAGGCTACTTTGATAAGCTAAGTAGCTTAAAAATCGAAACTTCTGATTCAACAATAAATATCGAATGAAATAAAATGAAATTCACTGGGTAGTTCAATCACTTACTAAGAAGCAATTCTAATCCAAAATTTTTTTAAAATACTTTATAAATTTGCCTAAAACGCGTTTTAAAAAAAATTGCAATAAGTAGACTTCTCTAGCAGACTTCAAACGTAGACTGGAGGAGAAGTCTACTAAAGAAGTCTACTAAAAAACATGTTATTTTTGCAATTGACCAACCCGTTGACTTTTCCTTCAGTAGACTTCAGAAGTAGATTTCCGGCCAAAAAAGTTACTTTAGCATTTGACCAAGCCATTGACTAACAAAGTAGACTTCTATTGTCGACTTCATGTAAGAGTGGACTTCTTTGACAGTCTACTTTTGAAGTCTACTTTTT